CGCGGGCCCCTGTTTGACGCCGGCAGCACAGCCCAGAGTGCAGTATCCGCAGTCATGCTGCTGGTGACCCGTGTTCTGGGGCACGGCTTTGGCCGTGTATCCAAGCTTGCGAGCGCCCTCCATCAGCACGCTGTTTCCGTGGTTCTGCTTGATGAAGTCGGTAGAGACACCCATGTAGTCGCAGACGCGGTCAAGCGAGGCCTGGTAGGCAGACGAGGTAAACACGGGCAGGCCTCCGTTCGCCCACTCCTCCCGGACCATCGACTGGGTCTGCAGAGACGCCGACCAGTTGATGGTACCGCCTCCTCCCCAGGTCGAGCCAGAGACGACGCCTATGGACCCGTCGTCCGACAGCTCTGCACCGCCGTTGCTGAACAGATGGAAAGCACCTTCGCTGCCGGCCATGGGGTAGCGGTCATTGGGGAAGAAGTAGGACTTTTCTACCACGATGACTCTGTGGCCGGCCTCTGCGAGATTCTTAGCAGCCACGCCGGCACCACAGCCGCTGCCGACAATGACAACGTCCGTCTCGATGATCTCAGTTCCGGCTCCATCTCCCGCGGCGGGGAACTGGAGGAAGGAATAGGGGAAGTTCTCGCTGGCGGCGGCTCCATGGACGGGGACGCTGGGAAAGCCGAGCACGAGCGGCAGAGACGGGCTGGATCCGACCCAGGACTTCTTGGTGAGGGCGACGAGGGCCCGGTGAGCAGCACGCAGCGGCGGCAGGTAGGAGGTCCTCCAGGAAGACAGGATCTGCCTGCGGACGCTGTAGGGCTGGTTCTGGAAGGGAGTGCGCGAACCGGTCAGGGCCAAGGAGACGGCGAAGTTGTTGAGTCCGGCCAGGATGGTTTTGATGCCCCTGAGCCCTTCCTGGTGGACATGCAGCGCCAGGGTACGGCAGAGGCTCTCCTTGAAGCCCGGGATAGAGGAAGCGCTCTCGTCCAGGTACTGCGCCGCAGCCCTTGCAGCCGCAGGCTCGTCCTCGACGCTCTCCGGCCGCAGCGAGGACACGAGATCATCAAACCGGGACCGACTGACGAGATGGCTTGAAGATGAAGCATAAGAAGGAGAAGAAGAAGTCGAATTGGCAGAGTCTGCACATTTCACAGACGGGATGACCGTGTCTGCAACCGCAAGCAGCGTCTCCCACTGAGCCGGCGAGAGCAGATCCTCTGGCCGCGGCGCCGGCGGTAACGGGGTTGCCTGGACGGTGGAAGCCATGGCTGGTATAAATAACTAGGGACTTGAAGAGTAGAATGATAGATAGATAGACCTAGGAGAGCAAACGAGTAGACTGAAGAACAGCCAGCACCAGCACCAGCAGGACGACAGCTGTCTGGTGTAACTGATAGTTAGTTAAATAGTTAACTAGCTGGTGAGTCCGGGGGAAAAGCTGTTGGTGTTTACCGTCGCCTCCCAAAGAAAGAAGAAGGAGAAACCTGGAGAAAGCGACCCCAGGGACTAACCAACAGAATAAGTGCGGAGAGCCCACAGTCCACAGTCCACAGCCCCGGCCAACTAACTGCCTAAACTGCTAGCTGTGTAGCTATGTTTAATTGATCTCCCCTCTTGCAGCCAGGACGGACGAAGACGATATCATACGAGCTGCCAACCCCTGAGCCGGTGGAGCACAGGCTAAGCCGAGGAAGCCGAGATGCGACCTGATCTGCCTGTGATCTCGTCTTACACTGCTGCATCGCATCTCGTCCCGTCCTAAGTATCTGTTAGCTATACTCGAACCTGGGGCTTGTCCGTCCGTACCAGTTAGTTACCTGCCATTGGGAGAATAACTACTAGGTAGTAATGTTTTCTGTTTTCCGTCTTCCGTGCGTTGTTGTGCTTGCCTGTCTACGGAGTACCAGCTAACTATCTAGTTATCTAGTTATCTATGGAAAGAAACACAACCAGGTAAACAAACGCCTTCTCCCCCTTAACCAAGTCCCTTGTTCAAAATCTCCCAACGAACACCATCACTATCCACCCCTTAGTTCAGCAGTGTGGTGTAACTAGTGTTGGCATTTGTCTGTTGTATTCTCAACCTTATGCTATACCAAACCAAGATATAACTGCCCAGGAGGGCCTATGCAAATGCTCTGATAGACTGATAAACAACGGAAGCACGGGGAACCAGCTTCGTGATGATAAAAACGCCCGATCCTGAGTAAGCCCCCTTAGGAAGTAGAAATATTGAATATACACATACACATATACGGAGTAACACTTGAATAGAGAGGGAAGATTAGCCATGATTAGACGGACTTAGCTAGTTAATCAAGTCTTGTTAAGTCTTGCTAAGTCTTATTAAGTCTTGTTAAGTTCGCCTCGAGGCTTGGCAAAAGACGCTTTTTTTTCCCCTCCAAGTTGGGTTTTTTTTTTTTTTTTCTCTTGCCCATCGCGGGGGACTTTTTGCTCTTCTTCTTCTTCAACTTCCTCTGCTTCAATCCCAACTTTACCTACAACTTCCGCTTCAGCGTTTCCCCTACAGTCAAGTCCTCTTTGCCGGCCTACCGTCACCCCCTTCGCCCACCATGATTATCTTCAAGGTAAGCAGCCCCGCGGCCTCCCTCAGGCGCAAAGGTGGGATGGAAGGGGACAAAAACAACAACTGACGCCGCACGCACAGGACATCATCACCGACGACGAGCTCATCTCGGATGCCTACAAGATCATCGACAAGGGCGTTCTATACGAGGTCGACGCAAAGAGAGTCACAAAGAACGCTGACAACATCCGTACGGCCTCCCCCTAGATCAGTTCTACTCACAGTTCTACTCAAACTTTCACCTCACACCTGGAGTGGCTGCAGCTACTTGGCCTGCCTGTACCTATAGAGCTCGAGGGGAGCCAACCCGTCCGCTGAAGAGGCCGATGAGTTGCACCGATGATGCTGCCACCACCGTCATCGACGTCGCTGACGCCTTCAGACTTTCCCCCGTACCGTTCGACAAGAAGGGATACACCTCCGCCCTCAAAGGTATTGTTATTATTATTATCATTATTCTCCACCCCTTCATTCGTCATGATGGATATCTCGACACCATCATTATTATCATCGCTGTTTCTGTTTTATCTTCTTATATTTAGTTTCCGGTCCTCGTTATTGACATTGTCCTTTTTTAGCCTACATGAAGAGTGTTGTTGAGAAGCTCAAGGCGGCCGGCAAGAGTGAAGAAGAGGTCAAGGAGTTCCAGACCGGTGCTCAGGCTGCCGCAAAGCCCATTTTGGGCGGCTTCAAAGACTACGAGACCTACACGGGCGAATCCATGAACCCCGATGGAATGTAAGCATTATTGTTCCCCCTCCCTCCCCGCCCTGATTCTAGCAGCGCATCTGACTGGTCGTCCTTCTCTTTCCAGGATTGTCCTCCTCAACTACCGCGAGGACGGAGTCACCCCATACTTCACCTTCTGGAAGCATGGCCTCAAGGAGATGAAACTCTAGAATGAAAGCCTTTTTTCCTTCCATTTCTCACTCATCACTCCTCTTTTTCTATCCCTTTTTTACTTGCCTCCGGGTCTTCTTGACCACGTGCAGGCGCAAATTAACTAGCCCTACAGTGGGTTTTGGCCTTTCCAGGCTCTCCTCCCAGATGCATAGAATTCTCTACCAGATTAGTTCAAACACCTGAAATCTCGATCAGCGGCTGGAATCCTCCTGTTCAAAGAAAAGCTCTTTCACCCCCACCAGGTCTTATCTAGCCTCCAGTTTTCGTAATTTATGGCGGACGATAGCGGCCATGCTATCATTTCGTTTTAAAAACAAACTTAAATAAAGACACGCAGGAAGATCATTTTATACTTATATAATCCTTATTACTAAGCAAAATAAAGCTATTTTATTAGCTAAAAGTATAAACTTTACTTATTAAGCTACCTACTCTCTCTGTATTTTATTTATCTTATCTAAGTACTTTTTCCCTCAAGGACGCCTCTCTCTGTGCCTCTCTAGGGAGAGACCTAGGGAGAGGTATAGGGAGAGGCCTAAGAAGAGGCATCCTTAAGAGGCGCTTAGGTAAGGTGTGTAAAATATTACCCAAAAGGTACCATTTAAAATACCTTCTTAATTATTAGCTGCGTGGCATTATCGCTATACAGGCTAAAAACGAATAATGATAGCATGGCCGCTATCGTCCGCCATATAAGTATTCAATTTTGTAGTGGTGTTTATAACCAGAAAAAAGTATTACTATAATAAGCATTGAGCTAGATGACGTTTGCACAAGATACTCCTTGAAGCAATCATTCTTCTCTTACGAATCATATATGGCTCTTTCCTGCAAGTTGTATAGTTGTATTCCAGGTAGATCAAAAGTATGCGGACGAGTTAGTTAAATATGTTAGTTCAAAATCCACACTCGAAAACTAAGTTGGTGACTTCAACTATCCAAACACACAATTTCTACCAAACACCCATCAGCCACCAACCTCAACACTACTAGACTTTAGACCACGATACCGACGGTTTCTTATCCTTCTCCAACTTGATACATCGTCGCGTCAGTTATACAATGTCTCACGCACGAGTCGAAGAAGTCTCGGACTCGGATCCAGACGACATGGACCCGTCGGATTTCGACCCAGCCAAAGACTCGATCATATACCACAAGGACATGGAGGGCCCCTCCGCCAGCACGAGCAATAGCAGTAGCACCATTCCCCTTCGTCCCGCAGCTCACCCCGCCGCCGCTTCCTCGGCATCCCCCTCTCCGCCTCTCTTCCCTGGGGCCCAACAGATGCGCCGTCCCGCCATCGCCCAGGGCCGTGACATCCCTCGCTCATACCAGTGTCTGTACGCCGTCTACTTTGACAAGTCACGAACTCGCGCGGAGGGTAGGAGAGTCAGTCGGAAGCTGGCTGTAGAGAGTCCGCTGGCAAAGGACATCTTAGACGCCACGCAGCTGCTTGGCCTGAACGTTGGATTTGAACCTGATAAGCTGCACCCTAAGGACTGGTCGAACCCCGGGCGGGTGCGCGTTATGTTGAAAGACGAGGAAGGACGGCCTGCGCATTCCAGTATAAAAAATAGTACGACTCTTTCTTTTTCCTTTTTTTTTTTTTCTTTTTACCTTCCGTATCTTATGGGATCAACTAACTGCTGGTAGAACACCATTTATACACACATGTTGCGCAGTATCTGCAATCCCACCCAACTACAGAACAGTCTCCCTTCCGGCTGCGGCTGCAGGGTATGCCTGTGCCGGATAAGCCACCAGGCCCGCCTGCCACGCCACGAGGATGGAAAATCAGCAAGGTCTTACCATTGCATTCTCCTGCTCTGACTGGCGGCGGAGTAAGTGATAACCCATTTAAGGAGGCCATGAAGGAGATGCAGGCACAGCAAGGCCTACCTGGAATGCCTGGAATGCCTGGAATGCCTGGTATGCCGGGAATGTCAGGGCCCGGCAGCGCAGCACCAGAACCCAAGAAGAAGAAGGACAAGAAGAAGGGAAAGGCATAGAATAAGTTAAAAAATAAAACTTTTAGCATTAATACAAGTACCCCCAAGTATGATTAGGGCAACCTTTAATGTAGGCATCATCTTAAGTTCGACATCTTAACGATGGAAAAGACAAGCCAACGTAGCGAGCACGCGAACGCGTGAGTTAGTTATCTGAGACGCATCGCTACCAGAGCATACGTCGTCATCGGCATATAAAGCAAGCACGACATGTCACATTCCACCAGGCGACCAGCCGTAAATCCTCCAGCCGTCCTTCAATTATTAATTAAGACGCATCTCGAAGCCAACAAATGTGGAGATTTTCGCGCTAAGATAAAAAGGCACCGCGCCTAACTTCGGCGCCGGCAGGCGATAAGCGCGAATCCCCTCGTGAACGTTTTTTTGTGACTTCAACCTTCGACTTTCGCCTTCACGCTATCTTCAGCCTCTCGCTCCTACAAAGAAGTAAGGACCTTACTTCTGCTGCAGATGTCGTGATATTCAGGTTCCTCCCGCCCTCTCTCTGCCTCTGCCCTGCCAATGAGTCTGTGGGACGAAAACCCGCCGCCGATTGCTGCGGGCGACGTCATTCCCCAGCAGCGCCGCGCCATCGCCGAGCAGCCTCGAAGTAGCGGCCAGCCAGAGGGAGAACATCACAGCTATCCTTCTGGTACTGCGGCTGGTGCTGCACCGGGACAGTCTGCTGGCAAGACTCCTCCTCGACGTAAAAGTCATGGCTTCGGAGGAAAGCAGATCACTCGTACCAGGGTGAGCTACTCGTGCCATACCTGTCGGCGGCGCAAGGTCAAGTGTGACAAGGTTGGTTTCGTCCCTATTCGACTTGCCCTATCTATACAGACCTCTTATTTACCAATTTTGGTTTCCACCTCAACAGGTCCATCCGGTATGCGGGAATTGCGTCAAGACAGGCACCGAGTGCATGTATGACTCCATGGCCGCCGCTGCCCAGCGAAATCGCGCCGAGGACAACCATCAACGAGTAAAACGCAAGAGAGACGTACCGAAGCCTGCAAAGAAGGATGAGCCGGACCTGTCTACTCCGCAGGAGAGTCTTCGTGAACTACTAAACTATCAGGCACGTCTCCGAGAACAGAAATCTGGCTCGGACGAAATCGCCACCCGCCTCGATCGGCTTACCTCCATGATCGAACGGCTAAGCCGTACAGGTGATGCACACAATATTGAAGGGAGCGTTGCTGGCGGTGGGAGTGCTAGCTCAAATGTCGCTGGAAGGCCGGGGATCGTCGATGGTGCGCCTGGGCGCCCTCGCAACAGATCAGTTTCAACTTCGGGCTCTGTCTCGCGCCAGTCTAGCCCCAGGCGTAATTCAGATGATGCTAGCAACGATGATTTCCCAATTCCAGCGGGGCTTTCTACCGATCTTGTCGATCCTGTTGGTACATTGAACCTGGGACACTTGAGTCTTGAGGATAGCGGCAGGTCTCGATACGTTGGAACAACTTACTGGGCATACATCTCGGACGAGATCAACGAGCTAAATCAGCTACTCCGAAACCAGAACCGCTCTCAACCACCGGTTATACCCCAGCCAGATCTCTCTGATGGTGGCAATGACACCTTGACACCCCCAGTGCACAAACGAGATGAGTCGGACGCTCAAGTCCAACAGTGGCTCGCTACTCACGAAAGAAACATGCATGATTCCGTCCTTTACCCGAAACCTAGCACTTTTGCCTTGAATTTGAAGCCTATACTGGCAGATATGCTCAATCACGTTCCAACAAGACATCAAAGCAACATTCTATACAAGGCTTTCATGTCCGGAGTCCAAGCAATCAGTCCCGTTCTTCACCCTCCAACTGTGCTCAAATCATACGAAGAATTCTGGGACTGGTATACTGTGTATAGACAGCCAGGAAACCCGTATCCTCGGCCTTCATTTATCCCACTACTTTACGCCATTTGGTACGGTGGTTCGGTCACAGTCTCCCTGAAAACCATACATGCCGAGTTCAACCTCGAATCAAGATCTGCGTTAACCGAGCCTTTCCATGACGAAGTTACTAGATGGTTGAAGACCATTTCTTTCCCTCGCAGCCCGTCCCTCAACGGCTTGGCTGCCTTCCTACTTGTCCAAACCATCTTATCCAAAGAGGAGGAACCCTTGACAAGCAGTCTCTTCATCAGCCTTGCCCTTCGTGTAGCCCAGACCATGGGCTTACATCGTGACCCGGCGCAGTTCGGTATCTCTCACTGTGAAGCTGAGATGCGTAGAAGGTTGTGGTGGCATATCGTCCATATGGATGGTGTAGTTGCAATGTCAAGCGGCCTTCCACCTCTCGTCAGCGACGAAAACTACTGGGATGTTCGGCTTACTAGTGAAGTCAAGGACACGCTACTCACTTCTCCAGAGGCAGAAGTATACGAACGCATGGTAGATGAAGGTTATAGACGTCCCGATAAGCCGGATGATCCCTCTATCTGTGGGAATTCAATGGTTAATGTGTACTACATTTCAGCCAAAGGGAAATACATAATGGCCCGTAAGTGCTGTAGCTCCTTTTTACAGATATCTAAACGCACGGCTGTTAACTCGGGCTTAGGCGCTATTCGCAAAATTTTAAAGATCCAGTTAGGAACGAGACCAGTCACCAGAAAAGACATGGAGGATCTCAAATCGGTCCTTGTTGACCTTCAATTTAAGCTGCACGCGCTGGTTGATCGGATTGCTAACCCCAAACGCCCAAATGCCAATGCCGATACAACCCGATGTATCAAGCCCGATCTCCCCAACGGCGGACCCGGGTGTGGCGAGCAGTATCACACTCCAGTGCTGACTGCATTCCACAAGTGGGCAAAAATATTACTTTCGCTGTTCGTTCATAAGGCCTTCTGCGTGGCTTATCAGCCTTTCCTCAAGAATGCTAAGAGCAAAATATGGCCAGCAGCAAGACAATGGTGAGTTTTCGATGACATCAATTAATTACAGGGTGTGATCTCCCTAACAGTTCTACAGCGCACTACGTCATTGCCATGGTTTCATGGAGAAATTTATCCTCCTTGCAACTGACCCTGATTTCCAGCCATTCCAATGGAGCTGGCCTGGGTAAGTAGGGTATATACCCGACTACAAACCGAACACCAACTAACATATCGCAGAAATCACCAACCCATGCATGCAACGATGTAAGTATCATCTGACTCAAATACATTATAGTGTATTGACGTTATTTTCTAGGATAATGCTTATTGATTTATATGAACGCCCTTCGAGCTCGGAGGCACCGAAGTCCCGGGCCTTTATTGATAAGATATTCTCCTTATCTGGCCCAGACGGTGGTGTCGTTGGAGGCGAAGATGGTGTGACAACCTCAAGGCCATTGAACGATGGTGGGCGAGAAGCTTGGGATATGATGCGACGGCTTCGCGAGAAGGCATGGTTAAAGGCCGGACTTGATCCACAATTACTCTGGACTGAACAAGCTCAGGTGCAAGCTGGTGTTGCACCTGTAAGAAGTCCCTCCGTATCAACGACTTCTACGCGCAATCAGGAGAGAAGCTTCAAGGATCAGAGTGCATCCCCAACAACAAACTTTGCAGATAGCTACTACGCGATGATCAAGAACTCATACGATGACCACAGACATGTCCGACAGGCATCAGCGGAGTCGAGCCGTGCAAGGGATAAACAACCTATCACATTCACAACTCTGCCCCAGCAACAGCAACAAATCCCCAGTCCCACCTGCACAATCCCTGTTGTAGGTAATACTGCAACCCCACAGTCGGCTTCGAACGCGTTCCTTTGGCCCTCTCAGCCAGTGTACCAGAACCCAGGACCACCATTAAACCAGGTCAATCAGGTACCATCTCTTGGCCAAGGAGATACGCGTGGCTATCTTAACCCAAACTCCGCGAAGTTTGTTGCCTTAGCCGGCGATCGAGCCAATGTGGTTCCACCTATTGGACTCAAGATAGAAACATCTCAGCCGGCTATGGCTGATATTCCTATGCAAGCAATACCGCAGCACCGTCCGCAACTATCACAACAGCCGCAGCATGTGCCTCCACAACAGGCACCTCCGCAGCAGCCACCACACCCTACTGCATTTGAGCCGAACGTCAACTTCGATTGGGACCAATGGGACGCTGTGTTTGGACAATATCTCCCAATAATTGACGGGTACATGGACCTGGACAACAGCGAACCTCAACCGAATCCGAATGAGCTCCCGATATCGTCCACAATCCAGGCCCCAGACGGCAAAATGAGTATGCTTGAGCAAACAATGCCAGGCCCAGACAATTCCCGAAACTGGGCTGATTTTGGATAAGCAGTCTTAACAAGAAGTTAAGTTATACTATCTGTAGGGCATTGAGCGAAAGATTGGATGCTTTATATCCTACCTGTTCGCTGGCACACAAACATGGCTTGTGTAGATATCAATAACCAGGGGTGAAGCCCGGTAATTCTCACTCTCATGCCAAACCAGCTAGCTATCTGGGAGCTGCGGACAGATGGAAACATACCTACGCGGCGTCGCTTCAGCAATAACAGACCCAAAATTTCCTTTCTTTTTTCTTCCTTCTCTTTTCCTCCTTTCTCCCTTTGTTCTTCTCCTTATCATTTCTTTTTCGCCCTTTACCTGCTGGTAACAGCGCAGTGAACGATAATACTGTTTTCTTTATCTGGTATGTTAACCCCCTGGTGTTTATAGCTTGATTGCGCAGCCAATTCATACCCCATGGGGTAATCCGAGTGATTGGCTAGTCCAAAACTAACTCGTTAACTAATGCTTAGCCATCCAGGCGTTCGTTATTCGAAACATAATGGTGCCAGCCGCAGCAATTTACCAGCTCTATTCAGGTCATCAGCCGCGCCTTTCTCCGATGAGAAGAGGAAATTCGGTCGTCCAGGGCGGTGCAGTCCTCATGGGTCTTGCAGTATTTTGCCATATTTCGGAGGAACCCCTACGTTTTCCTTGCGGAATGGGAAATTTCGAAGTATTCCCTATCCCGTTCGGGTATATCAGCAATTCATCCAAAAGCTCCCATATGACAATACTTCTGGAAAACATGCAGAAATTCTTCATTTAGACACCTATACTTTAAGCCTGCTAGTATCAAAGCCCAATTTCGAGGGATTACGAGGTTATGGCGGAGGTTAGCAGACCTGGAGCAGGATCCAGAAGAGAGCTTCAAAAGAGAGTCTTGGCCATTCAAAGGTCAACCAAATAAAAGAGTCTCTGGAACAACGTGAAAGGGAGGAAGGAGTATGGTGCTTGGGGCTGGGTTCGGAGGGTAGCAAAAAATCATCTGAATATGGGATATATAAGGGACAAGAGGCTCTTCTGGGAGTGAGTTGAACTCTTTTGTGTCCACTACTAGAACTGGGTGCTAATAGTTCTCCAGATAGGTTGGGGAAAAAGCAACCAAGAAACTGTCTGACCCCAAGTTCGAGGTTGATGGCTAGCACATTGCCATGATTCTAAAGAAAATTGGCTTCTAGATCTACGAGAGTGCTTGTATTAGAGATGAAGTCAACTGTGATTAAGCCCTGTTTGCACTGCCGTAAAAGGAGAGAAGAGATGGAACATATTACAAGGCGTACCACAGCTGTTGTCAAGGAGTTTACTGGTTGGAGGGATACAATGTAGATCGACCGCGCTCATTACCTTGGATCGTATTAGAGTTGTTATCAGTTTTAACAGAAATTCTCATTGATGCATATTAACTACCTCCTAGAGTCGTTAGCTATCTCCCAGAGTCGGATATAACAAGAATAAGCAGCATAATAGTGAGATGCAGTTGCGCCTGTGAATGACAAAGCTTTCCCGTAGTAGGAGCAAAAAGAGAAAAAAAAAAAAGAAAAGATTACTTCATGTGAAATAGTTATTGAAAGAAGGGGTTTTAACAGAGGCAGCGCGGGCAGGTCGTTGATACGGAATATGACAAGAACGGAAGATAGAGGAAGAGGCAAAATTAAAGGTCGTAAGATTTGGGTAAGCCTGAGTCCTGCATAGCGAAATGAAAAAAGCATGATCAACTGGTATACGGTGAGCGGTACGATGGCGACCGTCAGGAAGAAGCCTCCCACGAAGGAAAGACTCCTCAACAGTAGGGGCGATGACTTGATTGGCCCCGTCACATAAATCTTTGTGTATCAAGGTATGTCTTGTGTGAGGATCCCCGGCTTAGGAGACTGCAAAATCTTCCTTTGCGTCCTTAGAATAAGCCTTTTGTAGATGTTTTATGCCTCTACCGTCCACTTCTAACGTAAAGAGTAGGTCTCGGATTTGGATGCCAGCTCCATTCTCCTTGTCCTCCCGCCAATCGCCGAATTGCTTGCGGATAGCTTTTATATTGGCTGCGTTAGAGCCCGGCTTTCCGTTGACTCCTGCGGCTGATCCAGCGGCTGCTGCTGTGCTGAGTCGAGAGGGTGTTGAAAAGCCGCTTCTACTGACCGCCGGCTGTGAAGATTTAAGCCAGCTGTAGCCTCCTTTCTTGCCGAACCGTGAAGAGAGACTGGTTGTCTGCATACGGGCAGTTTCAATCGCGTGCTGGTGTTGTACCGCACCCGTAGCCTTAACATCGACCTTCTTGATATCCTTCTTGGATATTTTCTTATCGATGTCCTGAGCACGATCGAGGCCGTTGGGTGTGGATGCACCAGGAGTCGGTAATCGGCCATCAGTGCCGAGGATGGCATCTGAGTTGCGTTTTGCACGTTTGGCGGCCCGACGTTCTTCATGCGATTCGTCTCTGCCGATCAGCCGACGGCTTTTCAATGTCAACGTGCTAGGTGTAGCCTTCTTAGCCGTTGGAGTGGTGTTGTCAACCGTCGCTTCGGCTGTGGGAGCTTGATCAGGTTCTTCGAAATTAGTATCAACAATCGACGCAGCACAGAGGCTGGAGTGAGACTTACTTGTTGCAGGAGTACTATCATCGACTGTCGACTCTTGTGTTAAAGCTAGATCGGCCCACTCAGGAGGTACGGCACCGTGGGAATTGACTCGCCGATTTCTCGAGAGAGTCACGGAGTGATCGATGACGGACCGAAGCCTCTCCTCTGAGGCTAATGATAGCAGTGATATAATATCGCCTAGAGCTGATTCAGGGTTAAGAATAGTCTTGTCTCTTCTGATGACAGAGGAGCCGTCTGGACCAGTGACCTCAACAGGCCCTGTAGGACGCCCCGGAAGGGGTTTGAACACGCCACTCATGGGCATCCTGACTCCGTGTTCCTGGGCCCGTTTCTCAAGCTTTTTCTCCATAACAGCCGTATGTAGAAAAGCAGATTGGAGATGATACTGTTCCCTTCTGCTAGCAGTGGTATCTTGCCGTAGTTGTTCATCCCGGGCTATCTCTTCCGGTGATTTAATAGGCGGAGCAGGGGCAGCTGGTGCCTGATGAAGGTAGCCTGTGGGTTGAAAGCCGGGTTGCTTGGGCGGCTGTTCAGAAAAGCTGGTTGAGGGTGTGATGGGCCCGATAGGTGGTAGTGAATTGAACGAGTTTGAGAAGCTTGCTTGCTGGCGCGGCGGGTGTGGGATAGACTGGGGGTGCGTTTGCTGGGTTTGAGCTGCTACTGGTTTTGCATATCCACTAGTCAAAAACGCTTCCTCTTCCTTCACATCTATACCGGACGATGCGAGCACATCTGTAAGCTCGGCGGTGTCTGTCGCCTTTTCCACCGGTCGTGAAGGGGGCCCCATCAAGCCTGGTGGCGGGGGCGCATTTGGGACTTGTTTTGCCATGCCATTCACTGGAACAGCGTTCCCGTTCGCAGACAGCTGCACTGGCGCAAAGTGAGGAGAGTTGTATGGCTGTGTTGACTGCGGAAGAGGCGAGAGACGCTGTCTTTTGGGCGGAGGGGGTGCGTTGCTACCTGGCACCGAAGCTTGCTGGGTACCAGGAGAGGGACTGGAGGCAGGGGGAGAAAAGGTGCGAGGAGGCAGCTGGTGAGACTGGGTCTGCGCCATCGTGACAGAAAAGCCAGAAGGCTTCAAGAGAACGGCTTCTCCGTGCTATTATTATCCTCCTGTCTCTTTGTTGCAGCTCGCTGCTGGTGAATAAGTCAAGGGCCCGGGTGAATGCAGCGCAAAACGGAGGATGGGTGAGGATTTGCGTCTCCCCCCGGAGCCAGCTTTCATCTCACGCAGGACAAGCCAACCATCTGTAGGGCAAACGGAAGCGCAGTAGCATATATCGGGGCGCGCGCTATCGCTCAACTCGCTGTCCCTTCGTGTCTTCGTCGTCGCCCTCTTGCTTGTCGTCTTTGCTCTCTCTTTTTTTATGTCACTTTAAGTCGCGTTTTTTCTTCCCTTTGAAGGACAAAAAGAGTAGTCACGTGAATAATTATCATTAATAAGAGATTATGTTAGCTTTATATGACTAAGCAGGGCAACCTTGTTACGACGTCAAAGGAAAAAAATAAAAAAGGGCGAAGGAGACGATAGGTTGATATCAAACTGCAGCATCAACAAGAACGCGCAGGAAGGGATAGACGGGCCTGAGGAAGATCTTAGAGGTTACCTGGGTACGCTGCAGGCTGGCTAGAGGCTGATGCAGAGATAAAAGACCGGCCGCGAAGATGGCTACGAAGCGAAAGGGTTCGTTCTCAGCGAGCGCGGACGAGCAGCAAATAGATCCATCTGATGAGCTTCTGTTCCACTGTCTGGGGGGCGGCAATGAGGTCGGACGGTCCTGTCATATTATACAGTACAAGGGGAAGACAGTCATGGTTCGTCTTTTTAACCCTAGCCCTTGAGGGTCCTTCGTCATCTTTGAGCCTAAGCTAATCTAAGTTATTATGGTTTTGACAGCTTGATGCTGGAATGCACCCAGCAAAAGATGGATTTGCGGCACTCCCTTTCTTCGATGACTTCGACCTCAGTACCGTCGACATCCTCCTAATAAGCCAGTACGTCCTAACTCCCTTCCATTTCAAGGCTGTGACCGCAATGATCTCCCTTGTCAGTCTTGCGCAGATGGATATACATACAGATATATACATACTTCTTTTACGCTGCCTTTTCCACCATGCTCAAACATGTACTATGAGATATTCAATGCAATTCAAGTTTTTAATAGTCACAACAATATGGTGTCTGCCCTCGTATCCCAATGTATTCGTCTTCTACAACTTGTTAATCTCAGGCCCCCTACACAATGCTTTCACAGACCTAAAACAAAATCGGATAGCTAATTGATGACAGTTTTCATCTGGACCACTCGGGATCGCTACCCTATGTCCTTAGCAAAACGAACTTCAAGGGTAGGGTCTTCATGACCCATGCCACAAAGGCTATCTACAAGTGGTTGATCCAGGACAATGTCCGAGTCAGCAATACATCCTCTTCCTCTGATCAACGGACAAGTCTCTACAACGAACATGATCATCTTTCAACCCTCCCCATTATCGAAACGATTGATTTTAACACAACCCACACCATTAACAGTATCCGAATTACTCCATTCCCGGCTGGTCATGTGCTCGGCGCTGCCATGTTTCTCATATCCATCGCCGGACTAAATATTTTGTTTACTGGCGACTACTCTAGAGAAGAAGACCGTCATTTAATTTCTGCTGAAGTCCCCAAAAGCGTGAAAATAGATGTCATGATCACAGAGTCTACTTTTGGTATATCATCCAATCCGCCTCGACTGGAACGAGAAGCCGCCCTTATGAAATCAGTGACCAGTGTTATAAACCGAGGAGGGAGGGTTCTCATGCCTGTCTTTGCACTCGGACGAGCACAGGAACTGCTCTTGATTCTGGATGAATACTGGAGCCGGCACCCGGAACTACAGAAAGTTCCCATTTACTATATTGGAAACATGGCTCGTCGATGTATGGTTGTGTACCAAACATACATCGGAGCTATGAATGAGAACATAAAGCGTCTGTTCCGCCAACGCATGGCCGAGGCTGAGGCCAGAGGAGACAAGAGTGTCACCGCCGGCCCTTGGGACTTCCGTTTTGTTCGAAGTCTAAGGAACCTGGACCGCTTTGAAGACGTTGGAGGATGTGTAATGCTTGCATCTCCTGGTATGCTCCAGACTGGAACTAGCAGAGAGCTTCTAGAGCGATGGGCGCCGAACGAACGTAATGGCGTCATCATGACCGGTTACAGTGTTGAGGGTACCATGGGGAAACAGATAATCAATGAGCCCGAGCAAATACCAGCAGTTATGAGCGCTAAGAACGCTGCAGGCCCTAGCGACGATCAGAAGATCATGATTCAGCGAAGATGTACGGTCGATGAGATCAGTTTTGCGGCTCACGTTGACGGCGTCGAGAATAGGGAATTCATCGAATCTGTTGCAGCCCCCGTTGTAGTAGGTCAACGCTCACCCATTGTTCATGTTCAGCCCCTGAAGCTAACACACGACTCTAGATCCTTGTCCATGGGGAGAAACACCAAATGATGAGGCTGAAATCAAAGCTGTTGAGCTTGAATGTGGACAAAGAAGTGAAAGTCAAAGTCTATACTCCTGCTAACTGTGATGAGGTTCGCATACCATTCATGGTTGACAAAGTTGCTAGAGTCGTCGGTCGGCTTGCCGAGACTTCGCCGCCGGTGGGACAGGATGATTCTCGGCTAATGGACGGCGTTTTAGTCCAGAATGGCTTCAAATTATCGATGATGGCCTCTGACGACCTTAGAGAGTATGCTGGACTCACCACCACCACGGTCACCTGCAAACAGTATATTACCCTCAGCACAGCAAGTATTGATCTTATACGTTGGGCGCTCGAGAGCACCTTCGGTCTGATCGAAGAGATTGACCCACCTTCAAGTGAGTCTGTGAAGGGTTCCAATGGTGATTCAAGCGAACCGAACAACTCGGTCGCAAAAAAGGAAGAAGAAGCAGACGAGGAGATACCCTCCCGAGTACTAACCACATACCTGATAATGGGCTGCGTCTTCGTGAAGTACGACCCACAACGGCGCGAGGTTGAGGTGGAGTGGGAAGGTAACATGATGAATGATGGAGTTGCCGATGCTGTGATGGCAGTGTTGCTCACAGTTGAAAGTAGCCCGGCAGCAGTTAAACGTGAGTATTGAGTAATCTTTTTTTACTCCATTTTTTTCGTTAGTCTGAAGCGATAGTGATGATTGACTTGATGATGACAGGCTCAAGCAAAAATAAACATTGCCATAGCCATGCGCCGCTCCCGGACAACCCTCATTCTCAGCTGACTCCCAACGAGCGTTTTGTGCGTCTCTGTATGATTCTTGAAGCACAGTTCGGGTCGGAGATAGCTCCAATCGAGCGCCCCAAACTGAGGCGCCGTGGAAGCCAGAAAGATAGATCTCCTTCTACCGTCGAGGATCCAAGCAAGGCCGACACACCTGAAAGCGATGAACCCGAAGACGAAGAGGAACTCCAAGAAATGGAAGAACTAGAGCTGGCGCGTTTACATTCTCTCGGCATACCTGTGCCGGGGGTTGAAATCAAGGTTGACAACCACACTGCTCGCGTCTGGCTTGAAACACTCGAAGTCGAGTGCTCCTATCCGGTGTTAAGGGACCGTGTTAGGGTTGTGGTTGAGAGGGCGGTTGAAACCGTTGCCGACATGTGGAATACTAAAGCCGGTAGCTCAATGCCAGCCAAAGTCATTCCTAACGGGTCGAATACGATCAAGGTTGAACAGGTTGTTTAGCATTCGCATTTTCCTCGATTCCCTCTTAAGCTGGTGACCCAGATTCGCGCTTCTTCCATTCTTGCTACAGAACATGGGAGCTTTCGGAGTTTCGGATGGAGATAACCAAGCTCCGCTGTATTAATAACATAATACTTATGGCCTCCTTGAAAACATTACCGTGCTCGTCAGACCACCGTTCTCGAGCTTCCTATGCCACCCAACAGTGACTACATATATTTGAGAACGGGAGGTTCAGCACACTTCAACGGGTAAATAACTATACTTAAGTACTCCGTAATCTACGTGCAAAGATCAATACGCAACTCCGAAGAAATTAGAAAACGGGTCCATGTACAGATTTACGTCAAACAATACCCATCTATATCCATATGCCCTATCTACCAGCCTCTTAATCGCTTTGTTTACCCCCTTTAGACTCAGTCTCCCACTGTCGAGTATAAATAACGTTAATTTAAAGTTTAAAGTTCTCTTGAATTACAAATTAGCTTTGATTCTGTGTTCACGTGATACGAGAAAAAAGATTATCCCGCTCCGCTCTTCCGACCTCTCTGATTGGCTGGCTCAAAGTAGCAACTCCTCGCGTTTCTTCCAGACAAAATCAATACGCAACCAGTGTATTTGAATATTGAAATGACTGCTCTCTCTATTCTAACGTAATGTTTACTCCTTAGGGCCAGTTCTGCTTGTGGTTAAGCCTACATTGCATCAATACTTCGATCCCATGGTCGTATGGAGCAGTTATGTGCAAGGCGAGCCTAGGCAATCATCTACAGGGAGAAGATACCCGATAGGCTGTGACACCTCAAGAGTGGCTGGCGGATGCAATCACAACCAGCCCCGGAGCTAGGACTGGTTGGCTACAACTGATTCTTAGGCCCCTAGCTTCCTGCTGATCTGCTCATTTTTGGGTCGTGATGAAATTTTTTGCAGCAAGGGCTGTCATGTCTGGCAATATTTTATTTCCAACAACTTGACAAAGAGTACGAGATGCGAGTACTCCAAAGAGAGCATTAGCCCCGTTCTAGACTGAGATCAATAATTCCACATTAAGTGAGATATCTTTGCTTTCTTTCTTCCACGAGAGCGTTCGTCTGCTGCTTATGCCCTTTTTATCCCGATATGCCGCTCAAGAGCAATCAGCGCACACCACTGCTCGCTGTCCACTCACGGCCCCGCAGGAATCATTCCACACGTTGTAACAGCCTATGGAGGCCCATTGGGTTTATCTTGTGGGTTGTTCTAGCGGCTGGTGTTATCATATTTCTCGCCAAAAGAGACACGCGCTCGTTATCATTATGCCTGTCGGATGCAGGAGTTTCACACGTAGTGGACGGTTCGAAGGACTGGGATCGAATAATATCGCCCTGGAACCTACGCTTGAGATATACGCCGGCAGCCGTTGCAATTCCGCAGACCATTGACCAGACCCAGGCTGCCGTGTTGTGCGGGATAAACCACCAGTTGCGCATCAGTGCCAAAGGTGGCGGTCACAGCTCTGGATCGTACGGTCTTGGAGGTGAAAATGGCCATCTGGTTATCGACTTCGAGCAGATGGACCAGGTAACTCTTCATGATAACCACACTGCTATCATCGAGCCTGGAGCGCGGCTGGGACATGTCTCTGTGGAGTTGTTTGACCAAGGCAGAAGAGCAATCCCACATGGAACCTGCCCTGGGTATGTATACGTTTTCATTTCCAGCTGGAAAACAATTCCTAAGAAAATATGAATAGAGGAAACAACCGCAAAACAATTTGGAATTAATAGCTAACGGTGGCAGAGTTGGTATCGCGGGCCACGTCTTGCACGGCGGATATGGCAGGGCTTCACGTACCCATGGTCTTACCCTGGACTGGTTGAAAAGCGCCAAGGTGATTCTATCTGACGGGTCTATCGTCCATTGCTCTGCGACCGACAATATGGACCTCTTCTGGGCGATACGGGGTGCTGGGTCATCCTTTGGCATTGTCACCGAATTCGAGTTTGATACATTCGAGTCACCAGAGAGTGTCACTGTATTCACCATCAACCTACCCTGGAGCGAAAAAAGCGTGATAGAATCCCTAAAAGCAGTGCAGGATCTCTCGTTGATGGCTCGGAAAGACCTCAACCTTGCTTTTGCTGTCACCGCATCTAGTCAAGCTATTCGCGGGTTGTACTTCGGCGATGAACACGAACTTGTCCAAGCATTACAGCCTCTCTTGGTCCATCTTAAAACGAAACTGTCCGATGTTAAATCTGTCAACTGGCTAGATGGACTAAGGTACTTCGCAGATGGTGAACCATTGGTCCGCCCGCAACCATACAATATGGTATGTTTGTTGATAATACAATGAATCCTACTTTTAGCAGAGAGGCATCGTAGTATTAACGCATTTATAGCACACAACTACTTACACGAGCAGCCTCACAACTCCCCCACTAACTAACGAGCAAATTGGCGTGTTAGTGTCGACCCTCTTTACCAACATTAACGACACTAATGCACGTCATTCATGGGACATACTTTTTGAGTTGTACGGTGGCCCAAAGTCCGCGGTCTCCCAGACTGATATAGCCGCTACATCGTATGTGCACCGTGACAAGTTCCTCCTCTGGCAACTCAATGACTTTGGAGAGAATGGTGAATTACCCCGCGAGAGTTTTGCAGTGCTTAAGCAAATCATGGACAGCGTTACACAGTCCATGGGTGATGGATATTGGGGCATGTATGCCAATTCCATAGACACCCAACTGGACAGCAACACGGCACAAAAGCTATATTGGGGAGATAATTTACCTCGACTACGGAAAATCAAAGCGCGACTTGACCCTGGCAATGTGTTTTGGAATCCCCAGGGTATCTCTCCGTCGACCTAGGCCCTGGCTCCGCCGGCCGGGACTAGGGTCGAGGGGTTTCGGCTATCGCAATCAATAACCTACAATTCCAGGCCGAAAAGAAATTCTAACGGGAAAGCACAACAATGCATGGCCTTCCAACAACTAGTATGTACATTGTACATCAAGATATGTGATACCTTGCAGCGGGTGGGCGGTAATACAATTCCAACCTGAGGGTTCTCCCTAATTGTTGGATAAGTACCCATTGCTTACCATGAAGCCCTGTGAGAAGCCGATGGGTATACAGGCCCCATATACATATATATACACCCACATATCAATTGTGACAGGCTCTTCACAATGTCCATTGAACTATATACCCGCTGTTAACACCTCTTGTTTTCTCTCATTCACAGAAAGTAATCCATTATAATGCTCCAGAAAAGTTTTGCAGGGCACAGTCGCGCGAGCCACGAACAAGTACAACTCGGAAGCAAATCAAGAAATTGGTTCTTGAACCTGTTCTCTGCTGTGCAGCGAAAATGGACAAAGGCTTATCGTATGAACCCAATTCCAACAGCACATGCAAACAATTCATTGGTGATCAGACCAAGATATTCCACCTCACATCACAATCACAAAACGTGGATTCGTGGCCTATACCCGATCTCTCTGTGGCATCCGTCCCTAGGTATAGACCGAGCAAACGATATCTCCTTACATCTCCGTCTTGAACTCTCTTGTCAGTCGCACTTCATCTCATCTCACTTACTTGCCTGCATGTGGCATGAATTGTTCACCATGTGGGCTTCGTGATGGGTGTCATGGACCCAAAGACGATCTTTGGTATTCCGACATTTTGACCTCGACCACACAAAAGCCGGCCGGGTGCAGTTGGCTTCCGGGGGAGGATATTTCGGCAAGATATGGTCTAGCATGATGGGGTTATGATGAATCTCGCGATTACATGGGATAGACTGAAATATAAAAGAGACAATGGATTCCACAGGCGTACCATGATCTTAAAGCATCCAGAATCACCAGCTCGACTATCACCAATACCAGCTACCTTCCCTGATAATCCATAGATTTCACCAGCTCCATCATCATGGCCATCAAGATGCTCTATGCTCTCTCCCTCCTTGTTGCCTGTGGCATCGTCTCCGCTCTCCCTGTGGAAGACATCGGTGTTACTGCAACTGCCACTACCGGCGATCTGTGAGTGGACCTCGGAGTTTTACCTTCAATTACATATCATCTAACGCCGAAATACTGTAAGGTCCGGGAGGGGAACCATATACTATCAGTATGGAGCAGCAGGTTCCTGTGGCGCCGTGCACGGAGATGGAGACTACATTGTTGCTCTAGGCCCACACTACATGAAAGGCCCCAACAGCCCTTACTGTGGTAGACGTATTTTTGCTAAGAACACCAACACCGGAAAGTCCGTCACCGTCACCGTGGCTGATACCTGCCCAACCTGCGGACCTGGAGACGTTGACTTAGCCCTTGGCCCGTGGAAAGCCTTGACCAACAATGCGGCCCCTGGAGTTTTCCCCGTCTCCTGGTATGTCTTGTATTCTGATCATTCCTCCGTGGACAATGTGCGTCACTTTCCGATAACTAATTTATAACTAGGCATTTCTCTTAAGAAGTCTTAGGGTGACTTGAGAAGGAGGAATACAACGGCATAGTTGGATCAACTGTGAATGGTTTCCTGAGCTCCCTGGCGGATGTAAAGGTTTACATATAACTTTAGTTCTTCTCGGTCTTTTCAGCTGCTAAATTCAATTTACCGATGTGCACATCATGTTTTTGGATTCTTCTTTGATGGCCATCACCACATCATACCATGATGTAGATGATACAGTAAGCTCAAAATATATTTGGTTCAGCCAGCCCTTACAGTATGCAAAACCAGGTAGGCATACTGATAGCTCTTTTGCAATCCCCTACTATAATTGAATGCTGCCATATATTACATCAAACGGTCTCAGCGTTGCACCTAAGTTACGCTACCATAGTAGACCGACCAATGATTGAGGTTATTGTAGAATAAAGAAGAATATCGCAGTAATTGATGACAGCAGTATTAAATATAAAGCACCCATCACCATGGATGTAATCAGATATATTCTTTTAGTCAAAAAAGACGACAGATATGAGAATATGACAATAAATTCATCTTCATTAATCCCACCTCATACAAGGGGGCCGGGCCCTCCACCGCGGCCCTCATATCTCTCTCCCGTCTCCCAAACCATCCATCAACCTAGCTATTAAAACGCCAAATGGAGAGCGGTCACATTTCCCGGATCATGAAAAGAAAAAAGCAGAGAGCTGTGGCGCGGGTGTGAGAACATCAAACAACATCGCCGAATCATCAAGAAAATTGACGCAAAATCAACAAAACAACAGCAAACAAAAGGGGACGGCAGAGCAGTAAAAAAAAGGGGGGGAAGGTCAAAAATAGTGTCTAGGGTGACATAAAAGTAATAAACAAGAAGATAAAAGGTTAAAGATAGGTGGAAGGGGAAAACTGCTGACATGTAACTGTCCATTATGTGATGTAACAGTTCATCGAGGCAGTCAGCTTCCAGAAAAGAGCGAAGGGAAGAAGAGGGGAGTAAGTGTCTGGCGTTTAGAGAGATGAATATATGGTATCAGCCGACACGAGAATTATATGGGCAAATGCTCCGAGGAATGAAAGGGAAAAATGTAGTAATAAAGAATAAAAAATGAAGACTGATATGTTTGAGAGATATAGATAGGCCTTATTCGGAATGGTGTAAACGGTGGGAAAAATGGGAAGGGAATCTCAGCCGCCACGCTGCTGCTCCTGGCGGATGCGGACTGCCTCGGTACCATCGTCGATGATAGTATCCTTGAACCACGGGTGCTTGAGGGCTTCTTTGGCAGTAATGCGAGCTTTGGGGTCATAAACGAAGATGCGGCGAAGTAAGTCAAGGAATTGTTTGTTGAAAGAAGTTGTGGCAGGGATGAATTCCTGTAGAAATGTTTATTAGTGTGACTGTCCGGTAGGTAGTAGCTGGTTTGCTGTAGACGCACATGTAGTTGTTTCATTGCTTTTACGTATTTTCTCGACGCTCTGGATGTATCCTCATTTGGATAGTCGAGTTTTGTGCGGTTGAAGTACCTAGAAGAGTTATGGACCGTTAGTATGGTGGGAGACTCAATGACACGGAAAGGAGTTCAACATACTTGGCTGCAGAGTTGGCACTGTGTCCGTTACGGCCTTGTAGAACTTGTCTGACGAGTCGGGGGTCGATTTTACCACCACATACGCTCTCCATCATGGCGAGGTGCTCGAGGTTGTCGTGTGTCTGGAAGAGGGCATCTCCGGTGAAGAATTCAACCAAGATACAGCCTATACTCCAGATATCGCAGGGGAAACTCCATCCAAGGTTGAGAATAATCTCAGGAGCACGATAATGCCGAGTGGAAACCACGGAGGAATGATATTCATCGTCAAAAGTCGCAGACCCGAAGTCTATTAATCGAATCTCGCTATCAAGTAGGACACGTCGTTGGCGAGCAGTCCTCGAGGTTGTGTGAGAGGAAGAGGGGATGGTTCGATTGTATGTAAATGTTTGATAAGCATTGCTGACGAGAAGAATATTTTCAGGCTTCAAGTCGGTATGTATAAGGTTCACATCATGTAAGACTAGGGAAAAGTCAGTAAGGTAGTGTCCGACGGTAGGCATGTTGTAGTAGCAGAAAGATTGCTTACATGCAACGCTGGTGAAGAGCTGTCTGGCGAAGTTTTGAATTTGACTGCTTGGGAATGGAACGAAGGAATTTGCTTTTAGAAAATCAAAGACACTCTGGCCTAGCAAGTCGGTGACGATGCAGATATGGTTTCTGAAATCGAAACAGTCACGAAGATGGATGCACCTATTCCTATTAGTCTCGTCGTTGGATGCGAGGGTCGACAAGACTCGAAGTTCGATGCGAGAGGCATCGCGGTATTTCTGGACCGATCTGATGATCTTCACTGCACAGCGAGTCTTTCGTTGTCTGTCATACGCCTCTACGACTTTGCCAAATGTCCCCTGTCCTAGAAGGCGTATGATTGAGTCTAGCGGGTTGACGGCGGTTAGTTCTGGCAGGGTGACTAGACGGGGGAGAGGAGAAATATGAAGGGAAAAAAACGTGGACGCGGAGAGACTTACATTTGTCGGTGAGATTGGTATCTGGGTTGACGATATAGTGTCCATCTTCGTCATCGATCTTCTGGTTTTTATTCGCGTTGTACTATCAAAAAAAGGTATTAGTAATGTTTTGGCGTGGTGGTATGCGATGCAAATATGATGCAAGGCTAGGGTGAGAGAGCGGGTTCATACATCGCGGATGACGGGGACAACGACGTCTTTAGCCTTGATGGGCGGCTTTGGAGGAGGAATATAACTGCTGAACGCATCTCCAACGGTCTCGAGTTCTCTTCGTTTCAATTCATCACGTGCAGCCTTACGTGTCACGACTCGCTTCCGCTTCTGGCCGACAGCGACATCATCAAGGTAGACGTTGTTGGTTGTAGAAGCGCTGGCCTGAGAGCCGAGGGAGGTGGGAGCGGTGGTGTGGATGGAGGCGGTGCGGTCGGTCGACATTGAAGGCGCGGACGATCCCTCGCCGTACTTTTGGGAGGAGACAGAGTAGGCAGGGCGATCGTAGTAGACGTCGACGCCCGAACTGGCGTCCGTCCTCCGTTTCTTGCTCGCAGGCAGGTTGGAAGAGGAAGTAGAGGGAGCAACGCGAGGGACCGTCCTGCTGGTGGCTGAAGCGACGGCAGAGGAAGAAATGGCCACGGGATCGTTATTTGTACCATCGTCTTCATCGTCGTCGTCGTCAATGACAATTATCTCCTTGGGGACGCCGTTCTTATAGAACTCTCCCCAGTCTGGCTGCTTCCGCCGACTCTGGGCGGTCGGCAGGACTGTGGGCGTGCTGTAGGAGGCCATGGGCGGCAAGGGAGCAGTCGTTTTGGGCGTGGATGCGAGCGAGATGCCGTTGGTGGTCGGCTGATGGCTGGACGTGTAGCTGAAGGAGTTTGCAAGCGCATTGCTGGCCGCTGACGCGGTGGGGAAGGGCTGGGGGTTAGGCTGGTGGTATACTTGATGACGGGAGTATCCGTAACGCTGGTGAGATGGATGGGTTGCCGTAGCAGTAGAAGGGGTCGACATGGCGAAGTTCTCCCTAAAACCGGAGCTGCCGGTCACGGAAAACGGGGTGGTATAATTTTTCTCTCTCCTTCTGGCGAGATCAAGGGAGCGATGTGACGGGAGTCAAAAAAAGGAACGCCCACGTCTGCAAGGGCGATAGATCAAGAGAAACCCCGGTAGGAAAGGAAAAGGGAAAGAAGATGTGAGAAATAAAGGTGACAGAGCAGGCTCTAGCAGCGGCTCGAAGGCGAAGGCAAAAAAAAAAAAAGAAGCAGAAGAAGAGCCGTGAAGCGTGGGTGAGCGAAAGAGTGTGTGTGCGTGTGGTGGTCGATGCGACGGCCGAAACGACACCAACGCCAGGGAGGGAAAAAAGCCTGAGATTTGAAAGGGAGGCGGACGACGATTATGGTGACTCTCTCTCTCTCTCTCTCTCTAGTTATATATCTCTCTCACACACTCTCTCTGTGTGTGTGTGCCTCTTTTCCCTGGTTCCTCCTCTAGCTTTTTCCCTGCGTCTCGCTGGTCTGTCTCGCTGGTTCGCCGGTCGTCAGGGGAGCGCTGGTACTGGCGCTGGTGCTGGTACTGGTGGCGGTGGCAGCGAGAGGAGGAAAAAGCAGGGCCGGCAGTGCCAGAAAAAGGGCGACCTGAGCAGGAGAGGAGGAGACAGAGGGGACGAAGGGGGCTTGACTCCAGGCGGTGCTCGCGGTGCTCACAGGCGGGGGAGACGGGCACAAGCAGTCATTGCGGCAGTTGAGCAGGACGTCGGGGCGAGCATGAAGGGACACTCGGACAGTCAGACAGGATCTTCCTCGTCTTCCGCGTCCTCCTCGTCTTCGCTTCTCTGGTGACGTCGTCGTCGATGTGATTGATGCTGCTGTTTGATGTTATGTTGTTTGATGTTGACGTCGTCGTTGATGTTGTTGTTTTTGTGAAGTCGAAGTCGAAGTTGAGAAAAAGTCGAGAAAAGGCGGCAACCCTTTTTGGGACAACGCGGCAGAAAAAAGGGACCTCAACGCCTGGTTTTGTCGTCTTCGTCGTCTTTGATGGCGACGGCGATGCTGGAGAGCAGCGAGGTGGGCTTTCTATTGACTATCCATAGGCAGAGATGATATGCTGGGAGTGTAAACGGTGAGTATCAGCAAGATAACTAACTGGCTATCTCTCTATCTAGTTAAATATCTAGTATTCTATCTACCAGAACGAAGATATAGAGAAGACGGACTGATCACAGCCACAGGTCACCTTCCTCCACGTCGCACGGCAAGGTCGAGGGCTCAGTAAGCAGGGCCAGGCTGATCTCGGTCGTCATAGACTGGAGTGAGAGCCAGGAGACCGGCGGAGATGGCAGCAGGGACAGCAGGGACTGCGCCGTCACATGGACCGGCAGCGTCACCGGGTGGTGCTCCGTTCCCTGGCTGCCCTCGCCTTACGGAGTAGTTTTACGCCAGCAGAGAGCAGAGACGGTGATAGGTATAATACCGTGGATCCGGCCTCCTTTACCGGCGGTGACCCCGTCGATGTGGTGTAGGTATAGTTTGTTAAAAATATATTATCATATATATCTCACGCGAACACCCTGGTGGCAAATACCTGCCCTTCCCCAATTGTCTCTTTTTAAAACGAAAGCTACTTTAAGTAGTCAAAGTGTTTTTAAGGGATAGAACATCAAGGTCGTGTCATTTTTGACCCTGTGAGGCTGGTCATAACCACCAACCTGGATAGAAGTCTAAGTCTGTCTATCAAATCTCAGATTTTGCCAGAAAACCACCCGCCATGTCTGTCTGCTCAGCATGACAGGGGCCAAACCCGCCCGCCTGGTGGGAAGAAAGGAAAGCAGGAAATAGAACAAAAAAGGGGGGCGGAACGGACAACAATCTAGGACGCCTCGCTATGACTGGCCCGGGCCTGCAGTCAGCGAACCCAAATAGACAACATAGTCAGAAAAAAGGAGGGGAAAGAATGGAAAAGAATTGAAAAGAAACAAGACTCTGCGATAGATGTCATCATCAAACCTGGGGGAATAGCAGAACTAGCAAAAAATAAAATGTCAAAAGCAAGCTGTGCTGTTTGTTAGATGCCACGGTTGAACTCGACCAGGCCGGTGCTTCCACCACGGCCCCAGAACTCTTCCTCCAGCGAGGATGCTTGCACGGCCTGACGCTGTGGGAAAGCTCCCAGTGCCAGAGGCAATGCAAAGATGGATGTCGTCAAGATTAGACCTGCCAAAAGTGAAAGCGTTAGCATGACAGAGTGTATATACACGGTGGAGGTAGAGACTCACCCAAGTTGACCGGGAGAACCAGTCGTGGCCGGGCTCTCAACCACTGCATCTGCTGCAGCCGCACGAGTATCAATGGCGGCAAAACCATAATGGGAGTCGAGTTCAACACCCGACTGATAGCCGTCTCACCCACGGCCAAAGTGGCTGCCTTCTTGCTCTTCCCAAGACTCTGCATCTCACCACCCTCACTCTTGGCCTCTGCGCCCGTCCTCTGCTCCCTGGGCTCGGCAGGATAGACGTCAATGCCTTGTCTGATCTCCTCACCGCGCATCAAGAAGACGTTCAGGGCACCTGCTGTCGCCACTGCAGCAAAGGGGACAAGACGGCCCAGTATCAGCTTGGTGTTGGCTGCCACCTTCAGCCGCGGAACCACCGCATTGAGACCCAAGGCAACAGAGCACGACGCCGAGACGGCCATGAGGTATGATTTAACCATGGCAGAGGTCGACAGAGGAGTGGACTTGTTGGCATTGGCATTGTTGATAGCAACGTTGAGTGACTGGTTGCCTATCTGCCACAGAAGTGTTCCCGTTGTCTAAGGACTCGTTAGGCCCAATTCGTCCTTTTTAAAAACCAGAAACAAAAAGAAAAAAAGAAACGAAGCAACGAAGCAAGGAGGGGAAGACGTACGCCCAACCCAGGTGTGAGCATGCCCGCCGTCACAATCAAATTGGAGAGGACAAAACATGACATGCGAAAAGGGAAGAAGACCGGTTCGCCAGTATCTATCGCCTCATGTCAGAAATCCCGTAGTCACGTACAAAACCAACCAGGCTCAGAGTGAATCAAACGCACCAGGATGAAGTGTTGAGTCAACCACTTTCTTCGCATGCCATAACTCCGGCGTCATGGACAACAGGTGGCCACCCTTATATGACTCGATCAGTTTCTTTGCGTTCTCCAGCCCGTCTGCAGACACGAACAGGGTCCTACACGCAGGTTCCAGCGCAAACCAGTCAGCGACGCTCAATCAACACCAGGATTAATGAGTGAGAACAAGGGGAAAACCGTCAGGGCTCCCCTACCGCCCAGACGGACAGATGGCTCCGCGCGGTTATATGTATATATATGGGAGATATATACACACGCATGTGCCAGACGCCATACATAGATTAAACCATACCTTGGATCGCATAGCTCTGCGGACTGCCTAACCCGACCCCAGTACGTGCTTAGGTCATACTTGGATGCAGGGAGGTCCCGATTACCGGAGGTCGAAGTCGAAGCGGCCATCACAAGAATTGCAGGCCGGGCAGGGAAGTTATCTCGTTGTTATTCGGTTGACTGATCAGACGGCGATGGACGAAGATGACAACGAGAGCGAGGGACAACGCAAAGCGAGGCGGGATGTTTTTGTGTCTTTCTTCGTTGTTTCTTCTTCGCTTTCCTCGACTTCGACTTACGGCTTCACCTTTTAAAGTTTGTTTTTTGCCGCGCTAACAAGGCCACGTGAGCCGAAAGGCGGTGAAAGGAAAAGAGAGCCGAAGAGTCGGCAGAATCCCGGAAAAGGTTTAAATCTTCCGGCGCTTAGTTAGCCGCGAGTTAATCTGGAGATCGCGGCTATCTGTAGCTTATTCGGGACTAGTGGGCCGCATGATACGGAGTTTACGCTTACATCCGGGCGCTTATATACCTACCTATACAACATAAGGGAAAACGCAAGACGAGATTTAAAGACAAGATAAAGACAGGTCAGTTGGGCTATCCGAGGACATAAAAGGATATGTACAGAAAAAGGATGCAGTATCGGCACATGCAAAGGCGGGGGGTGGGTATTGTAACACGCGAACAAGGAAGATCTAGGTGGGCTTGGTATAATAGGTAGAGTTATAAAGGTGGCATGCGCTAGTGGTGTGGTAGGGGAGCATCACAAAGGGAAAACAAGAGTATAAGAAGTAACAGATTATTTAGAGTACCATTGAGCTAGTGAGGGTGGTTGGGTGGGTGTGCGTCTGCCCGGCTATTTGAAACCGTAGGATTTGTGGGTGAGCGGGGAAGAGACATGTCCGCCTCGGGCGCGCGGGTCGGGAGCTCGATGCCGGCGGACGGGAGTCTGCACGCAGTACACACAGATGTACACGGGCGGCAGGCTCTGTCGGTCAAGTCCAACACATCTCGTGTGAAGCCAGTGGGTGCACGATTCACTGCAAACATCCCCCCATAGTCAGTCAGGCATTTCAGTGCTAGTAGATAGATATGCGGGTAAAGAGTTGGTCTCACCATTGGATCATGAGGTGTCCGCCGTTATTCCTCGAATTACACACACACCTCGTCCCCGTGCTAGGGTTGCTCTGGCGTTCCACGACGGGTGTAGGGGCAGCGTCAGGATCAGTCATCTTAGTCGGAGAGATGGCCTCTCCGGCATATGACTCAGGGTATCCCACCAGCGGAGGCGAGGATCGCAGCGTGGCCATGGCCAGCGAGTGAGATGCTCGAGAAGCAGATGCATAGCCTATGGTTGCAGAAGCAGGAGCAGCCGCGGCAGTGACAGCGGCAGAATGACGCTTACGTGCCTGGAGGACCTGCTTGAGTGCATGTTGGGCATGACCGGCGTCGTCTGTTTCCTCCTCGTCGTCATCTCCCTGGGTAGTCTCCGAGTCGGTGATTGAGTAGTTTCGGGAATGACGGCGGCTTCCATTCCAAGCATCGAGCGGTTTGCCTCTGCCTCGAGAAGTATCCGTCCAACCTGGGTTATACCCTGAATGCGAGGAACCCACCGTGGATGAACGAGACGAGCACTTTGAGTGCGGACGGGACGAGGACGGGGTACGAGCAACGCGGGACCGACGAGGCGTAATGTCAGGGAAATGATACGGCGGATTTTGAACTCTTCCAATTCGACGTTCTGAAGTTTCGGATATATCACTGTCACTCTCCGTGGAAAGTTCCTCGATGCTGATATCAGGGGAGACATCGGGTAGCTGAGACTGAGAGTGCGCAGCTAGTTTCATTTCCGTCGTGGCAATTCCGTCCTTTCCAACCTTGAGCACTAGAGCCTCCATTGGCGCAGCCAGGGAGCTAGACCGTTGGAAAGAATGCATCTGCTTGAACGGCGAAGTGCGGCCCTTGGATGGAGTCTTTCTCACACCGCTTCCAGGTAGGGCACTTGCAGTTGTAGATGAAAAAGAAGCCTGTCGAGTTACGGCCCCCGAGTGAGTTGTGATCCGTCTTGGTGCTGGTCTGCCAGATGGCGGCCGGGGAAGCGAGGCATAGGGGTCCTCATAGTTGGTAGTAGCACCAGCACTAGCAGCACCAGCAGCGTTAGCAGCCGTCCTGCGTGGGTGGCCAACACTTCTCGTCCGTGACACCTTGCACAGGCCCCTTTCTCGTCTATCCCGTTCAGACTCTTCCGTCTGGTAATGATAAGGCTGTCGATTCTCCACCCGAGGCCCATGTGGGGAGTATGAGTATGACGGATCAGAGAAACCGAATCGTCGAGCTGGGGAGCTGAGAAACATCGACGGGTCATCGTCCTGCGGCAGAGGCACACGGGGCGAGGTTGAAAAGGAGGAGTTGATACCAGCCCCTTGCTGTGCTTCGAGGTACCGTAGGTCCTGAGGAACACCCAAACCAACCCGTCTCCTCCCAATGGACTGTGTCACGGGTAACCTTGGGGTTTCTAATCCAATCTCGCTGGCCGGGTCAGCATCGAATGGCTCGATTGGCTGCTGAATGGGGACATGGGTAGAGATGTCGAAGTGGCCAGTGCTGTTGGTATACGCCGCAGAAGCGGTAGCAGCAGCAGGACGAGGGACATCATCCATCATAGTTGAGGGCGGGGGGATATTCTCCTGGTCCCATGGCATCTGGTATCGAGGAATAAAGGACGGGTCGGTAGCAGATGCACCAGCGACCCGGAACAAATCAGGGGTGCCCTGGAGGCCGTAGAAGTTTGGAGAGAGACCGACGAAGCGGCTGGGAGTCTCGAGACGGTTTGGATTAGGATCTTGCACGGGCGTGGCAGCGTCATCAGTCGTTACATTCATAGCATCCAGCGTCCTCCTCCTCGAAGTACTGGTAGGCGGTGGGGTCTGCATCGAGGCAGCCGAGCGGCTGGTGGCATCGACTCCGTCCGACATGTCTGGCCCGGAGCTGAAGATCGTGCTCAATGGCCTTGTCTTTCTCACGCTGTTGGAAGCCAGCCCGTCGCCGCCATCAACCTCCGGCAATTGGCCTATTACAATTAGCACATGCGGCTATGGTAACTATCGGATATAAAAGTTTAAAAAGAAAAAAGGATATACCTCGCTGGGGAGACGGAGACGCCAGATCAAAGCGAGGCGGAGGAAACTTGACCAGCTCCGGGCTGGAGGCATAAGGGTCTGCGGTGTTCCATGTCACTCGCGGGTCGTAGAAGCTGGACTCAAGCTTCGGGGTCTCAAACGAGCTGGTCGTGGGTGTTCTCGTGGGCGTTTGAGGCTCGACATTAGGATCCGTAAAGCTGTAGAAGAGAAAAGAGAAAAAGCCCCAGGTCAGAATGATAATCCGCCTATCTGCCTGCAAGACATGCTTTCACCCCGTCCCTTGAACTCCAAGTCTCCCCGTCACTCCGGGTAGAGTAGATATTGGACATACCTGTGGATAGGGTAGTCCCAATTCATAGCCGCAGATTACCTCCAGCGCAGCATGAGGCGAGACGAGCGGCAGACGAGGGCCCCGACAAGCACCGGCCAAACACTCCAGGAGGTCAAGCTCAAGCCCGTCTGTCTCTACCGTCTCTACTGTCTCTCTACCGTCCCTTTACGCTTGGTTCGAAGGGTGGCCGTCGTGGTGGTTCGGAGGTGGGAGGTCGAGGAACAAACGCTGCGTAGAGGAACGAAAAAAAAAAGCCCTAAGGGGAGTCGAGTCAGCCAGTCAAGAATCTACTATTAACATTAACAGGGCGACTAAGCAGATGTTACCTCGTTGCAGCAAGCCGTTGACCCCTTGCCAGGATGCCAGGGATGTCTTCTTGTTCTTTTTCTCCTTCTCCGTCTTCCTCGTCGATTTACTTTGCTGGTAGAAAAGACAGAGAAAGGGAGAGAGACGAAAAATTATCCAGGGACGTCGAATGTCAAGCGGGAAGAAGAAAAGACGAAGACGAAGGCCAGGCAACCAGAGCGACGGCCAGGGATGATCGATCAGGCAGCACAGACAAGAAAGAAAAGAAAAGAAAAGAAATATATAGTTACTTATATTAACAAAATTACTTGGTTGTTTAGTTATTATTCATTTAGTTTGTAGTTAGGCAAAGCTGAAACGGTCAAAGAACGACGCCGTCCTCGTCCATATAAGTAGCTACTCCGTACGCAGGCTGATATATATACATATGTATAAAAGAAGACATCAAGCAGCGAGTCGTGCTTCAATAATAAAGAGAAGAGCCGGACGGGATGCATGTCTTTTATCTGACTCGCCTTCTGCTTGTTTATTTGGTTATCCTGTTGAAACCCGCCAGGTGGGAAGATGAGAACAGGACGAGCTCCGTCGGTCCCATCCATGGATGCCCACTTCCTGCGAGTTGTCCGGCCTGCCCTCTGTCACACCCGCTTTGGTCCCCTTTGCCCTGGTCCAAGGATGGAGAAGTCAGGTAGGAGATGACTAGAAAAATAGTCAGTCAGTCAGGTAGTTAGTTAGGTTAACTAGAAGACTGCTGCTTGGAACCAGGCAAGGCCGCAAAGCTTCTTCTTCTTCGTAGGCGGCGTTTGGTAGGTCACCAACGGAACCAGCAATCCGTGGAGGTAGACAGAAGTACCTCTACCTTCTTAACCTTGGTGGTTGGCAGGCCCTGACGTGAGGCAGCAAGTGTAGGTACCGCCATCTACCCCCCTGAGTGCCAAAAGCCAAAGGAGGGAGAAGGGGAAGCTGGTCACTGGTGCGGCAGTAAACCGGTCAACCAGCAGGCAAACCAGCGAGCTAACCAAAAACTGGCCGTATCCCCAGAACTAACTATCCAATCTCATCATATCCCATGGAGGTCCGTTTTGGGATCGATCAAAGAAGGGAGAGCTGCAAACTGGAAACTACTTCGACCCCCTGCACCAACTAGTTAACTAGTTGGTTGGCCAACAAGTCGACGGATGCATATCATATCACTCGCCCAGCCTCAGTCTCAGGGACGGCGTAAACATAGCACCAGATGCACGCCGCGCTGTGCCTGCAGCCGAGCAAGTCGCACCTCTTTTTTTTTCGTCCTTTGCTTAAGAGCCTGAAGATCTCGGATCTCCACAGGAGAAATTTATATCGTAAGCTAGTTAAGGAACAGGGCCCCTGGACCCCCCAGCCGGTGATTGGACTGTTTGCGCCCTCGGAATTAGCCAGGAGGTCGCTGGATGGAACCCGCTTCAGCTGCTTGTCCCCCTCTGTCGTGTGTCCGCGGTTCAAATTACTCCGTAGTTAATTAATTAAAGCCCATCTAGCTGTAAAATCTCATGGTTGCCGGGTGTTCCTGAGAGGAAGAGAATCCCATTACTCCGCCGAGAGAGAGAGGTAGAGAGAGTGAGAGAGACGAAGGCCGGACAATGTCCTCTTGTGTAAGCCCTTCCTCTCGGGGTGCCTTCATATGTTGATTAGTTATTGTCCAGGGGTGATGTCGCCTTGCCTCTAGGCGACGCCGACGTGCTCACCCGTGCCGCTTGCATGGCCCTGCTCCGTCAACACGAGAGGGATGCTCATGCAGGCATCGATTGACTGACTAGTTAATTATTGGCAAGCAAACACCAGTCATCCTCCAGGTTCCTTGCATCTGTTAGTCTCATCAGCTCGTTAACTAGTCGTTTAGGGCTGGCTAGCTGGCCAAGGTCACCAAGCAGAGATCTCCTGGCTGTGCAACGCCAGCAGTGCCTCAAACCACTCCATGGCCTCGGCCATCTCCTGAGGCTATCTCCTGCGGTCAATGTCCGTCCGTCTGTGTGTCTGCACAGAGAAACTGTCTGAGATTCACTCTAATCCATCTGTTCTTGGGTCCGTCTGGTGTCGTTATAACGCTTCACTATCCATGGATTAACTAACTAGCGGATGACCCAGGGACTTAACACTGCAACAAGGCTGGACACGAATGGGCTTTTCTTTTGGCGTACCATGTAGTTATGTAAACAGAACTCAACCGTAGCCAAAGTAGCCTACTTCTGGTCGTTGATATAAATAATTCAACGGTGTCTGGTTGGTTATTTGAAGGCGTGACGTTGGGCCTCTCGATGTGTTATTCAACCTCGACTTGTGTTGCTCCGTGGTTAGCTAGATAGTTAAATAACTTGGAACACAGCTTCGTCTCCTTCATGCTTTGTCTTCCTGCTGCAAGCCCACGTCCAGGCTGTCAACTTCTCAAGCGGACCAGCTGCAAAGGAAGATGACACCGACCGTCTTCTCTCCATGACAGTTTAACTAGTTACTCGCAGAAGCTGCTCTTCTTTTCTTCTCTTTCTTCCTCCTTCTCCTGTCTAAGCAGCTACTGTCACTCAAGATGGGCAAGCCACAGCAGAAACGCCAGTCCAGGGCCAGCAGGAGGGCTGGAGGGATTCGAAAAAGAGCCAGTAAGCCTGCAAAGCCCATGCCAAAGGCCCTGAAGGACAAGCTCAGAGACATTGCTTACTCCAAGACGGCCCACGGGTTCGTCCCTGAGGATGTAAGTTGGCCGTTGGCCTGCACAGTTGCTACTTAGTCACATATATAGTTAGCGATATGCCTATCTATCGTCCAGGGCTGACCAGTTGCTACCAGATCCTCTTTGATAACCAGCCTCGACCTGCAGGATACGTCTTTGTGCCCAAGGGAAACGTCTACATCACCAGGAAGTGCCGGTCCCAGACACACGATCTCGGCTCTCCCGTCTTCACCGTCTACGTGAGGCCTCCCTGGGCAACTAACTATCCATGAACCCCTTTTGAGCCATACCTAAAGGAGAAATAACTCTAACTTGTTGGCCAGTGTTCCACGACTTACAAGCAAACTGGTCTGTACGTCCCCGCCAGCGTGCAGTCAGCCGTCGAGCTAGAGTCCCAGGAGACATTCGAAGACCGCAAAAAGGCCGTAGCCCAGAAGGATGCCCGGGATCGACAGAAGGCTCGGGAGTTGCTGCTCAGAGAGTTCCCCAACATGCCTAGGTCAGATCTTACCGCTGTGCTCAACCATGCTTTTCTCAAGGGGTCCAGACGAGTCGGCAGGAGTGGCAAGGTTGCCAACGAGAAGGACAAGGTCAGGCTGGCGGTTGAAGCCCATATCAGACACGTCCATACCGAGTATGATGACATGATCCGCCGTGGACTCACCAGGGAGAGGGCAAGGGAGAATATTTGGGATGAAGTTGTCATCTTAAGAGACTCATGGAAAAAGTGATACCAATACCCCTTTAGTTACGAGATCACGATTCTGATAGATTTGATGCATTACATACAAGGAGTTAAGATTAGGTGCATAACTACTTGTTCGAATATCGCCATAATCTACCCTAGCTACGTAGAGTAATGCTCGAATTTCAGAGTAATAGTTATGTGCATTTTCTATCCATATCTATACTAGAGTTACCTACCTTTCCCCATCCCTATATCTACCTCTTCTCCTATTCTTCATTCCCCTTCTTACCCTTGCTCTTCTAGCCCTCCTAAGCGAATAGAGATGGAATATATGAGTTCCCAGGCAGCCCGTCAAGCATGATAGAACAGCTAACTCCTTAAATAAGGATGTATGGGCCAGCGTTTAGGTAACTACAAGTAAGTTCTATGTACTTTGGTTTAAACAAGGATATGTTAAGATGACTGAGCCAAAACCGTAACATTATGCTGGTAAGTGGAAAGTGAATTAAGTACCTAGTTATTAACTGAATAAGCGGGATATAGTTATACAAGGCAGGTGGTATTTCGAGTAAATTATTTTTCAAAAGGTGGCATCCGAGAAATTGAGTGTAGAAATCAAGCCTATAAATCAAGCCTATAAATCAAGCCCCCTCTGCTCATCCGAACGAACGTGTATACCATGGAATCCAAAGCCGATAGCACCGTTCACCTCTGCCCGACCAACTTCGGTCATGGTCTTTGCATCAAGTACAAGCAGATATGAGTTCCCGGACAGTCCGTCAAGGACAACAGACAGCAACACCCCGTCATCTTCATCCGAACCGTCGTCTCCTGCAGAGATATCAATTAAAGGCCCTTTGGTTCGTGGGACGAAGATAGGTTCTCCCGCACTCTGCCCGTGACGAGACCAGAACTTGCTCTTATGCGTCTTCGTGTCCATTTTCACCAGCCCATCAAAGAAAGTAGATGACCCCGTGAAGTTCACTGCATATATATACCGATGTGGCCGAGTGATGAATCGTGGGTTCATAGTCGGCAACTCAGGTGACTGAATCGGCTCGGACTTGTATTCGATAACGGCTTTTCTAACCGTCTGTGCAGCTTCTCGAGTGGCTTCTAGCGAGTTATTCAGCAGACGATACCTCACAAGCGCAGACGAAAACTCATTCGCGGCCTTGGTCTTGCCAGCGTTGGGTGAATTCGACTTGAGGTTGTCGAGGTAGAAGCACTTCAGGGGATTCAGGTTGTCATACGCAACCAGATCCGCTATAATGTCAGTTCCGGACCCAGTCTGGGAGGGCACTTCATACGCATTCACGCTATGGAAGCAGAAGAACGGATTGCTCTCAAAGGAGGCTACCAGTCCCCTGCCTCCGTTTTCAGGAGTTCGTCGGTCAACCACATACCACTTTGCGGGACGAGATGGGTCATACTCTCCAATAGCATCCAGGATGTTCCTCGTCCACAGAATCTTCACACCGTTGGCAGCAAAGAAGGAATTCCAAACACAGAGAACCACATAGTTCTCCGTCAGGAAGATGGAGTGGATATAAGCTGGAGTAGCATTAGTTATAGTCGCCAGTATAGACGTCTTGCCCGTCGACCGAGAGACGGTAAACACCCGGTACGTCGGTGTCATTCCAAACTCGAGGTTGAAGTTGTAAACGTCCCCCGTCACCGGGTCAGATTTTGCATGGGCTGCAGACATGGGCCCTCGAAGCTCTGGGTCAAGCGCATACTGCTTTGCAATCCCCACGGGTTCAAGAGTTTCTGGATCTAATACCTGGAATACTGCTGAATCCGTCTTGTTGACAATCTGCTGGATGCCCGACGCATGACCACTACCAGATTTCTTCTTCGCGTTCACAGACTCCAGGCCCGGAAAGTCAACAGATAGGGTAATGGCCATGGAATATTCGTCTGGTTGGCGTGGCTCGTCGGCCTGGAAGATAGACATGATTTTTTTAAAGTAGCTCTGGCAAGGGTCATATTTCTTTGCAAAAGTCATCGCCTTCCGCTCGCCGGTCTTCCTGATCTTTTCGATCAGACCGTCGCAGGTACTGCGGGAATTGTAAATGACTCGGACCCCCGGATGCTCCTTATCCGGTGCTAATATCCGAAATCGATGCACGACTGCTAGGCCATCGAACCAGTGGCAGACTCGGTACACTCCTTTATCCGTTTGAATCTGTCCGCGGCCGATGCCTGTACGAAACAGAGTGCCAGCTGCCCATGACGGGATTTTACCAGCCACCTTCAACTCGACCGGAGTCCTTTCTTCGTACGAGGTATCAAACTTGAATCGCTCGTTAGTACTTGGTAGAGCTTGAACGAAACAAAAACTCACTCCTTGGTAATTTGGCCAATCAGGTGCTGAAGAGTGCTCCTTCGGCATCTTAGTCTTCGTGCCCATGGCTAACAAGGTGGATTAATGTTGTAAGGAGAAACACGTCGTAGTAGATGTTTATATTTGAAAACTTAGTTTCTGGCATAATCGAGTCGTTTTCCAGCGGATAACATCAGGCAATATACAACGTATATATATACCTTCTAGCCCAGGCGCTCATCCGTGTATATCAGAGTATGGTAATCGGCCGCAAAACCAGTCGAGTTATGAGATTAAACAGGCGGACTCTCGCGCTGCTTACATTGTAGAATAGGATATGAGGCCGTTGATATTCATCCGGCCCATATCAAAGTCCAACCAGTTACGTCCGTAGAGGTGAGAGTTACAGCTTCACAGCTTACCGGCTGCCTCCGTATGGTGGACGCTAAAGTTCAATCTCACGCACGCCCTTGACTGGGCACCATAACGCAGAGCAGATGTTCATATATAAGTATGCATACTCCGTGTACCCATAGCAGAGGCGGCAGGTCATCTTCGACCCTCCTGGCGCTTATTGGTTGGGAAACTTTTCAGCTCCACGGAATAAGACATTTTTGCGCACGTAGGGAGCCACACCGTATTCTTCGGTCCGATGATCATACCAGAAGTAAGGAATTCATCTCTTCGTCCTCGGGCATTAATATACGCCGCTTATGCGTACGGAACCCAGAATACACAAGGTCGTTAAACGTCGTCTCTTTCGTCGTTTTTGCTGACTTTTGTCCGGTTTCGTTTTTGCTTCGGCCGTAAGGGGAAGCGGCCACATTCAATCACGTGACTAATTACCCCTTGCCCGCCCATGGTTCAGAGCTGGAGATGGAACTGCTGGCTGGAAGTTCTCATACCCTGGCTTGATCGTAAGACGGACGCTTAAATAAGGAATGCGAATTCCCGCTGCGCTGATCAACGAGTTAATTAGTTTACCCCAACCAGGTTGAGAGGTCACTAAGGAACCGATAACAAATGCCTGATATACAAAGTATATATGGTAACTCAAGGGGATGGATGTTAACTAAGGCCTAAAAAGACACGGCCATATTCTGTGAATGTGCCTATAGATCCGCAAAATAATACTCCATACAGCGTAACACACCTCTGCGTGTCGTTCGTTTTCACACCCGAACCTATTCTCTGTATCTATCTTTAGCTCAGCATTGTGAGCCTGTCGAGTCTAGGATATTCTTGCCATAAAGTATCAGTCCCAAAGATGTTAGGTGTTGGCGGCATGGGGAGAATATCAAGAAACGTATCATTTCTGAAACAAGCTAGGAGCGGAATAGAAACCTTAACCCCGAGGATAGAAAGACTGGGAGTTTCACATGGAGACGGCTACCAGGTAACCGGAAGGGCAAGGTTGAGGACAACACAAACACAGATGTGATGGCATTTGTGAGTGGTCGGGACAAGCATAGGACGTGCGATGAGATCTTCTAAGAATAGCGGTAGAGTTCAGTTAATGGATGGGGCCAGAAATGCTGCATGAAAGGCCCGAACACAAGAAGCACATAAAGTAACTTGGCAATTGGCGGCATCTCTAGGCAAATTGAGGTACCTAAAAAGTATCTTCATCCCATCTCCGTCAACTTTTCCCTTCTTCTTCCCCAACCTTCATCCTCTTGAAGGATTCGATTTAAGCGCCGCGTTTTTAGCCTGGGAATTAATCTTTGCACAACTAACGAATAAACGCGGGAGATGAGCCCCACAAGTTGCCATTTCAAGTAAAGTTTGCATCCGACATGGCGGTTAGGCTGCGGCAAGGATCAGGGATAATGGGCCAGTTATTAATAGAAGTTGTGATGGCGTGAGCTCATTGGCTGGGGTATTGGTGATTGAGGGGGGGTTTCTGCGGACGGAAGCATGCAGGAACAGTGGCCAGTGTGTGTGTTGGGCGCGTGCATCTGCGGGCCATATAAAAACAGTCAAGGCGTTTCATCATTGTGGCCATCCTTCTTCACTTCGCTGCTGCCCGTCTGAACGTTTGGCTAAGTTGGCGGCGGAGGGAGAGAGAGCATGATTCTCCATGAGCAATCTCGAAACAGGGGGGATACACGCCCCCCCTCTACGGATCCCTTGACTCGAGATATGATATCTCCGCCGTTATCCCAGGAGTCGGCTTTTGACTCGAACATGATTGCACCCCAGGTCTACTCGGGATTAGAGTATGTCTCGAACAAACTGCAGTCTAACACGCTGCACCTAACTCTCATCCTCTCTCGTGGTAAACCACTGCCCATTGGTCAAGGGTGCAATCTCACTGTTTTCCCCGTCGGCACTCTCTCGGATAATGAACGCCATATTTTCAGCAAGTATATCCGGCGAGCCGCAAGGAAATACCATCTGCAGCCGAAATGGATGGCTCTCTCGTCATCGAGCTCCGGCATGGATGCCATGTTTAACCCTGAATATCTGATCGACCGATCACTGAAACAGAACGATGTCCTGATCAGCCTTGAGGGCCTTACGATTCTGAACATTGACCGCACGTACACTCTTAAGCAGTATCTCAACGCCCTCTCCACCCCCTGGGTGACGCCGAACACGATGATCGACCGTATCCCCAGCCGCATTTATACTGATGCCTGTCTCTACCTCCTTCGGCAGTCTGTTCAGAGCACCGGTGGTCGACCGTTCACCAAGTCGTTTTTTTACCACGCTTATAACCACTTGCATTTTGAGGACCAGCTCATCGTCGATATAGCCAACGAATATTTCGCTCGCTATAAACAGGTGGCCATTGTTTTGCCAAAGCCTCCGCCTCCTGAACCTATCCCCGAGCCCGAGCTTAAGCCCAAAGTGGAACTGAAGCCGGATATCAAACCAGATGTGGTAGTATCAAAGCCCAAGGAAGACAAAGTGGAGAAGCAAATAGTTAAAAAGAAGGAAATTGCTGCTTCATCCCTGGCTACGAGAAGAGTTAGTTTTGCAAAGGCACTCTCCCCGCTTAGAGCAAGGACACCCCATAGTGCTTCTGACGTGACGCCAATTACTCGGACTGAATGGAATATCCTCGTTAGCGATTCGACTGTCGGCAGGAAGAAACCAGTCCAGTTAACCGTTCCTCGAGACGCGGGGTGTGTTACTGATATAGAGGAAGATGGAGTCATCTATGACTTCAACTGGGAGGATATTGAAGAGTGATTGAATGTGCGAGCATGGCTCTTTCGCTATCTTATGACCGTTATGAACATTTATTTCGTACGTAGGACCTTTTTATTCGTCCGGGATAGTAATTTTTCGGCGCCAATGGATATATTTTCAAGCTGCTAGGGATAATGAACATACCTATCATGAGTCTTATTACCCATTGGTGGTTCTAAATAGTCTCAGGCAGTGGTTATCATATCTGTCACCAGTCGATAACTGTTATAGTTAACTTCAGGCAATCAGGCAAACAAAACAGTAGTTTTATATTTATAATCAGCATAAAGAGTAGGTTACTTTTTGCTATTGGATAATTAAGATTAAACCTAAAAGAACTTGGTAGAATCTATAACCTCACCAACCTCCCCCAATGTAACTAGTGGTTATCCATGGATCTGCGAAAATTGTGCTTGACTCCGGTCCCTTGATCAAGTTGGTTATTTGTCATCGCCTCTGGCTAAAAGACATTGAAATAACAAATAACAATCCGGCCTTTGGAGACATGACTACCTTATCTCCGGGGCTGACAAATTCAACCTCTGATGAGATACCCAAATGGGGAGAACGTTCTTATACATGACCTTATTGCTCCTTTGGTGTGAGGGATTTGCACGATGATACAACCTAGCTAGTAGCTCTTCGGCTTTTATATCTGTTTACCTGCAGTTTCTATTCTCCAATCTTTTCCTTTCCTATCGCCATGGATTCACCAGCAGTATCCAAGAGCCACGAACTTCCCCTATCATTAGAAGGTTCGGATTGCCAACTTTCTAATAACGGAACGGGCGATCTTGAGAAGACTGTTGGAAGTACACCTGCAGAGCCAGTAGAGGAAATTCGCAAGATCAAGGGGTTTAAGGTACGCTCTTCCCGCGTAAAGGTATAATGAAATAATCAAAAATGCGGAATACTAACATATAGCAACAGTGGTTTTTATTCATTGTGAGCACACTGACAAGCATATTTGTATATGCTCTAGATAACACGATTGTTGCAAACATTGTCCCGGTTAGTAAACTTATCAGATTGGTCTACACTTGGATGTTTGCTAATGCAGCGTGTATAGGCTATTGTTAGGACATTTCATAATACCGATGACCTACCATGGCTCTCTGTCGGGTACGTCTATACCGACCGTTACCTATATTGGAGAATTGACTGTTAAGGAATATTGAAGTTTTATGATTGGTGGAATGGCTATCGTTCTTCCCCTTGGAAGACTTTATGCCCTGTACGATACAAAATGGGTCTATATCATTTCAACTGTTATCTTCATGGCTGCCTCTGCGTTATGTGGTGCTGCTCCCACTATGGACGCCGAGATAATTGGCCGCGTCTTTGCCGGAGCCGGGGGCAATGGAATGTATTTTGGTCTGCTGGCTCTTATATCTATCAATACCACAAGCAGGGAGAGGCCACAGTACCTAAGCTTGACGTGAGTTCTCCTGACCGTCAGTTTCTTTCGTGTGTTTGCAATCTAATCCTATGGTTATTGTAGGGGTTTGGTATGGGGACTGGGAACTGTCCTCGGACCAGCCGTTGGTGGAGGGTTTGAGCTATATAATTGGCGCTGGGCCTTTTATATTAATCTCCTTTTTGGTGCTATACTATTGCCAATCTACCTCTTTACTATACCCTCAAGTGCACCTCTTCCAGGGGTTTCTATCCGCAAGAAACTAGCCATGTTCGACTGGCTGGGTGCTATCCTCAGTATTAGTGGCTTTGTTGCCCTCGTCATGTCAATCAATTTCGGTGGTACCTTGTATGCGTGGAATAGCGGACAGATTATTGCCCTTTTTGTTATTTCAGGCACTCTCTGGATACTATTTGCCGTTCAACAGAGCCTCAACTTTCTAACCACTAAGGAAAGCCGAATGTTGCCTGTTCACTTATGCGTTCAAAAGGAACCGATACTACTGTTTATTTCATGTGCGGCAGTTGGTGCAGTTGCCTACATCAGCGTTTATTACATTCCTATTTATTTCCAATTCACCCGTGGAGATACTGCTATCCAATCCGCAGTTCGACTACTACCCCTGATTTTCTTACTCATTACATTCATGATATTGAGTGGAGCCTTCATGTCGAGAATCGGATATTACAAACCTTGCTATATCATTGGCAGTCTTCTGGCTTTAGTCGCATCTATACTGATGGGTAAGTATATCCCCTTCATTCAATGCGCTTGTCAATTATCTAGTTTCTTCGAGGCTAAAAGCCAGAATTAGCAACAATTGTCGGTATCAATTCCTCTCCAGGGTTGATTTATGGCTTAGAAGCTCTTCTAGGCATTGGAGCTGGCATTTACACGCAGGCAGCATTTGCCATCATCCAGGCCGTCGTTGATCCGGCAGATGCATCAAACGGAATTACTCTTATGTTAATTGGTAAGGAACAAGCGTAACTAAAACTCTATCAATGTATCTCAATATTAACCTACTACTTATAGCACAACTCGGCGGCATGACTCTCGGCCTGTCTATTAGCGGTGCCATCTTTGTCAATACTGCTAAAGCCAACCTACTCAACTTACTCCCCAACTTAACCCAAAGTCAAACCCAGCAAATTCTCTCTGGAACAAGCAGCAACGCCCTGCAAATGCTCCCATTGGAGATACGTACACAGGCTTTATCTATTATCGTCTCAGCCTGGCAGAAAACGTAAATCCATTCCTCTCTTTTCATTGCTAAACTAGTTATACAGCAGAAGAGCGTATTCTAATGTGGCTACAGTTTTATTTGTGCGTATGTTGGTGCCGCAGCCAGTTTTGTCTGTTCTATATTCTTGTCGGTAAGATATTCCCCTCTCCAGCTGATAGAATAGGGACGGATAAAGCTAAGGGTATTATTATTCTAACAGCACAAACGGGCCAACGTTACTGCACAGCCTGCAGGCCACTAAGATACTCTATTAGCTGGAGTAGTTGAGTTTAAACAGACTGGGACGTCTTAACTATCAGATGCAATAGTAGAGTTGCCTCTTCGAGGCTGGTAATAAAGTACTGTAGAGCTTGATTTCAAACGGTTAATGGAGACTTTTCTTACGTGTTATTCTAAGAAGGTGGATAGCTGAGGAGAAAGTTGAGCTGGATGATTACTGCGTCAATCTATACATACCTAGTTAGTTACACGACTGGCACATTGTCTCATGACGCTCTCAACGCGAGAACACGCCAAAATTGATCCCCACATGAAAACCAAGTCGTTTTTTTTTTTTTCGAAATTCCCACCAGCGATAAACAACAACGGCATCGACAGGCAACCAGCAACAACGCGGAGGCCACAAAGCTTCACATTTATATAATGGCAAACGAAGATGAGTCGCGGCGCAAGCGCATCAAAGTGTCCAATAACGACGCCGCCTCCGAGGTTCTGACCGCACCGATTCCAGAGCTTGTCGACGCTACGGCCAACAGTGAACCTCCAGCTCCAGATGCGCAGGCTGTAAAAGAAGCCGAAGTTGGCATTACGCAATTCGTTAGCCCTGGCCTGCCCGGGTTTTCTGGCGTGGTGAAGAAGAGGTGTGTGCTGTTGATTATTGGCTGGTGGGCTACCTGGTGGGCAGAGACCGCTAACATGGAGACTGGCTTTCTAGATATACCGATTTTCTGGTTAATGAGATCCTACCGTCAGGAGAAGTTTTACATTTGAAGGACACTGAGTTATCTCCTACTCTTAAAAATGCCATTGGGGGGGCCGCTGCTTCTGTTGAGTCTGCAAGCGCAACTCCGCAAAACACAACACCGGCAGGTGATGAGAGCAATGGGGGCAAAACATGCGAAGCGGAGGATGATAAAGCCGAGAAACCAGCTACTGAGACGGCTGATGCTGCTCTAACAGAGGTAAGCACGGATGGAGGTGCCCTGAATGCTGTGGGCTGTGTTTACTGACTGTTTTGTAGCTGGCGCCCGAGGACCGAGAACTACTAGACCAATCATTCGGATCCGAGGCTACACCTAAACTCCTAAACCTCTACTCACGCTCCGTTATCAAGGCTTCCTCCAGGCCAGGCGAACTCGGCAAGGTCAAGTCTCTTGTTATCACGGACAAGGACCAAAGGACAAGCCTTCACCAAGCTATCCGTCGAATTTTCAAGTCCAATTTAGACTCAACCACCGACAATGATGGGACAATTGTGGTCTCGGCTGCATCAGTCCAACAACGCGGGGGCAAAGGCAAACGCAAAAAACAGACAGGGCGGGATCGAGGCCAGGGCTCTTCTCAATCGCTCCGTGGTAAGCTTGGGTGGAGCGAGCTCGGCGGTGACTATCTGCATTTCACATTGTACAAAGAGAACAAGGATACCATGGAGGTCATTTCATACCTTTCTCGTCAATTAAAGGTGGCCCCCAAAGCCTTTCAATTCGCCGGAACGAAGGACCGCCGTGGAGCCACCGCCCAGCGGGTCAGTGTATTCCGTATTTACCCAGATCGAATGCCGAAGCTCAATGCATCCCTCCGGATGGCTGCTATTGGAGACTACGAGTATCAGAAACAAGGCTTGGAGCTGGGAGAGCTGAACGGGAACGAGTTCGTAATCACTCTCAGAGATTGCCAGTTTCCCGAGGGTGTAGTTGAAGGAGACAACATTTCGAACCCAGAGACTATCGCCAAGGTCACCGAGCTTGTTGGAAAGTCTCTTCGTGATCTCAGGGAGCGAGGATATTTCAATTACTACGGGCTCCAACGTTTCGGTACTTTTGCAACAAGAACTGATACCACTGGCCTCAAAATGCTTCGTGGAGAGTTCAAGGAAGCCTGTGAATCGATCCTTCATTACAGCTCTATTGCATTAGCTGCTGCACAGGGCGTCTCAGCGGAAGACCGGACCCAAACGCCTCAGATAAGCACAGATGATATCCTGCGCGCCAAGGCAATTCACATCTTTCAAACAACGGGTAATGGCCGTGATGCGTTGGAGATATTGCCTAGAAAGTTTACAGCTGAAAGTAATATCATCAGGCTCCTCTGCCAGCGAAAGAATGACTACTTTGGTGCGCTGCAGTCTATTCCCCGCAACCTGCGGTTGATGTATGTCCATGCCTACCAGTCTCTGGTGTGGAACTTTGCTGCCGGCGAGAGATGGCGTTTATATGGTGACAAAGTTGTCGAAGGTGACTTGGTGTTGGTAAATGAGTTCAAAGATGAAACCAAAGCTGCAGGACAACAGGCCGAAGTCGATGCAGATGGAGAGGAAATTGTCTTGCCCGATGCAGATGACAGTGCCGCAGTTGATGACATGTTTGAGCGCGCCAGGGCATTGACGGCGGAGGAGGCAGCCAGTGGGAAGTACTCCATCTTTGACATTGTTCTACCGCTCCCTGGGTTTGATATCCTCTATCCTGCCAACAAAATGACCGATTTTTACAAAGAATTCATGGGCAGCGAAAAGGGCGGGAAACTAGACCCATTCGACATGCGGCGTTCCTGGAGAGATATTAGCCTTAGCGGCAGCTATCGTAAGGTGCTCAGCCGTCCTGGAGCTGACTATTCTTTTGAGGTGAGGTCATACGACGCAGAGGACGAACAGTTTGTGAAGACAGACTTGGAAAAGCTCAAAGAGAATAGCCCCAAAGCAGGCGATACCGGTAATAACAACAATAACAATGAGAACGGGGACAACAAAGAAAAGTCAGGAGCCCCAGAGAAGCTTGCTGTCATCCTCAAGTTCCAGCTGGGAGCTAGCCAGTATGCCACCATGGCGCTAAGGGAGCTCATGAAGACAGGAGGAGCAAAGGAGTACAAGCCTGACTTTTCTCGATAGGCGGCATCGGTCTCCCTGTAGAGGATGCAGATGTCCTTGCACATGTATAAAGAGGGCATATAAACCCTTTATCCGCCAATATCAATCAATATTCAATTCATCATTTTGGAGCCTTGCTGGCTGTAAGCGTCACATGTCACGACCGAATTTGAGCATTCTCATCCTTCAAGTTGTCAACTTCACCTTCAACTTCACAACATCTAACTAATTTCACAGGGCCGACTTTGACCGACGGGAAATGAAGATGTGCATTTGATTAGAAGTCGAAGTTTGGCGCGTACCAAATTCTGGAAAACTGTTCCTGAATCCTCTGGCCACTCAGCTGGCGTGGTTGCCTAACTTTGGTTCAAAGCCTCCACTTACCAACCATTTATGCAGTCAACGACCACTGTGCGTTTCACATTCAGCTTGCATACCATGGATCGAGAGCTTCCAGTGGCCTATCCTCGTCCGCTTATCTACCCTTTTACAGTCATCCCGGCGATGAGACGGATTGGAACCACGGATCGGGCCAGTCATCTGTTGATATTTCGCAATAAAGGGGCAGTATTATACTTTCCACACATCGTGATGCGATCTTCCGAAGAGAATATTCCCCTCGCAAGCCCAACCCCTTTACATCTGCGAAACCCTGATATTCCCTGCTGATGGGGCGTCGAAAAATGTCCGTATACCAGCCTTGGGTGGGGGTAGCGACAGCATAAGGATAGAGCATGCATTAGCCAGTGGGCGCCGTCCACGGTAGTTAACCCACAATGGTATTAGCACGATATAGCCGCCCTGTTGTTTCATCTTCCCAGCGGAGAAATGCACGAGCCGGACTCAGCCCCTGGTCTATTCTGCTTGTTGTTTTGTGGGCTTCGATTGCGCAGCTCCTGGGTTTGCACGGTCTCGCCAGTTGATATCAACCGATACCAGCTAAAATGGCGCATCTATATATTCATCTCTATCTCCACTGGATGGTCTTTGCGTCCCATTCTTTCTTTCCTCACGGCAAATATACCTTGATTTTTTCTTTCTTTCTTCTTATACTACTCAAAAACTCTGCGGATTGAGTCTGCCACTTTTGAGCTTCCATTCTTTCTTCTCTCCTCTTATATTACCATTCTTTACAGCCTGGTAGCTCCCTGGGAAAGCTTACATTCATTCGTTCTACTGTTCCTTGGCCCTTCCTATTACCAGAAGAAACATGAAATCCATCATGAACACCGCTGCCCTGGCTGGCCTCCTTGCTGCCTCTGCTAAGGCGCATATGATGCTCCATTATCCTCCTACCTTCGCTGCAGAGAACAATCCTCACCGCACTGATCCCGTCGACCCATACCTCGACAACCCTTACAATTGCTGTGGAAGAAAGACCGTCTACCCTTGCCGAGGGTACCTCGACCTCCTCGGCACCGACCAAGGCGCCCCCGTCGTTAGCTGGGAAGCTGGCTCGTCTCAGAATTTCAGCCTGACTGGATCCGGAACGCATTGGGGAGGATCATGTCAAGCTGGGTTCAGTACTGACCAAGGTAAAACTTGGAAGGTTGTGAGCAGCTATGAAGGTAACTGCCCTCATCGCGAGGGCTCTAACCAAAGCTCAAAGGAACAAACCTTCGAGTTCAAGGTTCCCGGGGATATGCCTGCTGGCGACCATGTATTTGCCTGGACTTGGTTCAACCGCGAGCAGGAGTTCTTCATGACCTGTGCTTCCGTTACCATCACCTCCGGAAGTGGAGGAAACTCTTCCCGACCGCCTGCCTTTACTCCTCGTGGCACCAGTGTCCGTCCCACTCCCGGCAATGATAAAACTCCTGCCGTCGCTTTCAACGATCGCCCGAGTTTCCTCGTCGCAAACACCGACAATGGCTGCAAGACCCCGCGAACCAACGCAGAGGTGAAATATCCCAACCCAGGACCTGACGTTGTCAAGGGTGACGGCGTCTACCCGTTGGAGCTTCCTTCACCAAAGGGTAAATGCGGCGCATAGCCGCCCAAAACGCTACATACCTCCATGTCCTATCGGCTTGAAAATAGCCAGACTTAGGGTAAAGATGCACAATACAAGGGTTTTATTTTCATCTTTATATTATTGTACTTTGTTTTTCTTTTTTTGTTTGCTGGAGGTATCAAGACATCATATTTTCCATTCTCGTGACTTGTATTCTATATACTTGCCAGGAGGTGCCGGACGCTTCCTTTCAGCTTTTCTTCTTTTTGCTTTGTTAGGACAACATCAAATTGGATTACACTTTGTCCTTGTATATTAAATTGCAGTTTGTCAAATATTCGTCATTAGGATCAATACACAAGTAAAAGTTCCAAGAGCCCGATGGAATTCCAAGTAAAAGAGCCGTTCAACGGTGCAATCCCAGGTATGCAAAAGAGGAATCATTGTGTGATCCCTATTCCAATCTTTGATAAGCGTACCGCTGGCGTGAAGGTGTCTTAATGTCTTTCCATTTAAATATATTTTGTATCGACCGTTTCAGTCTTATCGCTTTAGTCTCCCCACGAACGGTACGTGTGGGTCGCGGCTCTTTGGCCTTCTTTCGGGGCGGCGGTTTGACAGTGTATAAAGTCGTTCTAGATAAGGATACGAATATCGGCAACGGTGAGCTATATGACATACTGGTTGTCAACATCTAGTAAATGGAGGGTATTCAGGGCGACAGGCTTTCACTTACAACATTGGCGGTGATCCGGAGATACCGTCACCTGGAAAGCAACACACGTACATTTGTAACTCCCTGATGTGCTTGCTGGAAGATATGTTAGGTATTTATGACGTGGTGGTCTCGGGGTAACTAACGGGGCAGTTGAACTTTAGAGAAGCGAATAAACCATCACACCACGGCCATGAGCAATATGTATATATGCCCCGAAGGCGATTTCCACCGTGCCGCAAGGCTATGCCTGGGGAAGAAACAGGAGGTTACTGCCAGCGTTTTGAGTAACGCAGTCATGCTCGGGAACAAAGAGCATGCCGGGTAGGACAAAGCGATCGTGTCAAGCCCATGGATGCAGTACATCAGCACTTTGCCCGCTCAGCGAATGCTATGGCATAGCCTGGTTACATCCTAGTTGCGGACGCAACCATCACAATCACAGGGCTGGCGCCTGTTGAGGTCGTTAACACCATCACGAATTTCATTAACTCCGTCTCTAATTTCTGTCGGACCACAAGGGACAAAAAGGCCTAACTGCCGCAAGGAATCCTTGGGTAAATGAGTGCGAGTTGTAGCTAATGGAATATTCCAACAATCTCCCTCAAAATCGCACTAGATAGACCCCTTTAGTTAGCGACCTCTCTATCCATATGGCTAAGGGGGAGACCTACCCAGGATCTGATACTTTAACCCATGCAAGCTCGAGCCCCCAGGACTCGTTAACTAGGACCCTATAAGAGCAGTTAGTATAGGCCCTCTTGAGTATGGACAAAAACAGAGCGTGTACCTGGCTTCGTATGGGGAGATTTTCATGATAAAAAGAATAACAATAAAGGCTAGGAGAATATAATGAATAAAAAAAGGGTACTGGGAGGAGGAGAGAGGGCAATGCTGCTGTTCAAGCAGGTTAAGTTCATGGCAGCAGGAGGACAGAGACGAGACGTTTTCACGTCCCTCGAGGCCTTCTATATTTTCCAAATACGCAGTTAGCGCTAGGGCTCAATCTGGGGCTTAAGCTTAGGGGGAATACTTACCTCTCTCGACGCTCCGCTGCGCCTCCTGGGAGAGTTGGATGGCGTTCTTGGACCTAAATATCCGATGGGTGTTAGCTTTTCCATCTGCTCACTGATGGGTTTTGGACGTGACTGACTGCCAGGACTGGCGGACCGTAAAAACGGCACTGATAACGCCGGAGGCAGCAGCGACGATGGCGAATGTTGCATATTTAATGATTGAACACTTTCTCCGGGTTATGATATGTAGGTCACTGTGTGTATTTTGATGCCGCATGGATGAAGAAGCAAATGAGGGAGAAAAGGAGGGAGGAGGAGAGAAAGAAGAACATGGAGAGGTCAGAGGCGGCGGCCGCGTGGAAGGAACGCGGAGCAACACTGCGCGGTCCTGTCCTGCTGTCCTGGTGGGGGAATAGAGGAAGGACATGCATCCAGGGCCGAGGAGGTGGTGGCCTTGTACCTACACGCCGAGCAGAGATTCACTGCTGTGAACGTGGCATTCCTGTGCAGACACTCCACGCATCGATCGCTGGCAGAGCTGCTCCTCGATCTTGCTGAGGACGATGGACTCGTCTGGGGGGTATTCTACGTACGTCGGCGGCTGGTCTGGCATCTTGACTCTTTGGGTATTTATGTGGTATCTACTAAATATTCTAACTAGTCGGTCAACCGTCCCAGCGTACGTTGGTAGTTGACAAGCTGCGGATGCTGCTAGCAATAAGTATATATAGGCTCCATGCCCAGCCAGCTGGTGCGAATTAACTAACTAGCTAGTTGGCTAAGTGGCAAGGATGATATGATGCAATGAGCAGACAGGCTATATGAAGGCTGCAAAAAAGACTTTCAATCAGTGGATGACGGTTGGGTGCTGCTGGGTCTACGGTGTATTCTTCTACTCCCCATTGCTCGAGTGGCCGGCATTACCAGTATAATCACATATCAAGATCAAGGTAGCTGGCTATATCTAGTTAAGTTAACCAGAGTCTGAGAGTCATGCAAGTGGAGAATGAGAACGGTTGATGGATTCAAAGTTGACAGATCTATAACTATAACTAGCGATCCCATGTAGTTAACTAACAGGTAATTAACAACAGGAGAACCAAGTATCTCACCCGGGATATGACACTCTGACATACTCTTTGCTGCGTCGCAATTGATCACCCCAGCTGCCTTTGATAGCCGGTCAGTTAACTGCCTAGTTATCAAGACGTGCTGCAACACTCGTGCCGACTTTGACGTTGCCATCCGAGCACGCATCGCCCGCGAGCACCTTCGCCTCGGCATCTACTTTGGCAATCTCGTCCCAGGATGGAAGCATGCCGATGAACCCTCCATCCGCGAGCTCGAATGCCGCAGCCAGGGCCCAGGTGCGGAAGGTGAGATATCCCCTGACTTCAGTTTGGCGCATACAGGCCTCGATGGCACTCATCCAGGAGCTGGAGCAGTCCTCCACGGCACCAATCTTCAAGGCGCAGAGAAGGTTCAGGGAGGTGCTGATGTTTTCGATTTCGAGTGCCAGAGTCCACTTGTCCCTGTTGCGTTTCTGATGGAAGAAGGCTCCTGTCTTTTCGCTCGTGGCAATCAACACCCCCCAGTGGTACGGGGTGTCGATAGAGGCTGCTGTTGTTGTGGTTTTGCGAAGAAGCATGTACACCCCTTTCCTTTGCACTCTGACACCGTTGTCGAGAGTCATGGTCATCTTTCCCCCAGCTCAAGAGGTGATGTGGAGTTATATACACGCGTGTGTATGCTGTGTGCTGTGTGGGGCGGGAGGGAGATGGTAGCTAGACCCCCCCTGGCGAGAGATAACTTTTGCTGTGGTAGTCGCTGTTGGTTGGAGTGACTTGGGGTTGGTAGGTTGGTTGGTTGGTTGGTAGGCAGGCAGGTAGTCAACTAGGTAGGCAGATGGAGAAGATGTTTCGCTACGCGCAGAGGATTACTGTCCAGCTTGCAGTGACCAGGTATTTATCAGTCACAGAGGAAGGCTGTCTGACTATGAGGACTTCCCTCTTTGGGGCCTTCATCCGCTTTTTCTGTCTCTCAGCGCCCGTATGTACTCTGACCCCTCATGCAGGCAGCCGTTCGTGTTGTTGACGGGGCTGCAGCAGGATCGGAGACGTCGGAATAACCCCTGAACGAGGTGCAGCATTGGTCAGTGTGTCTACCAGGAGCTGGTATTCATCTATATATATACGCGTACATATGTACATACTAATATATCAAGCACATTAGCCGAAGTATGCCGTTCCGTTATATGGTAAGACCAATGACCTTCGCCGGCCAGGCAAACAGATCCTTAGTAGGAGAAATTGGGTCACTCTCATCTGCGACAACGGCGCCAACTAAGGAGGTGAGCAGCGGCTGCGGCCACCCGTGCATCCACCAGCCACCCGGATGCAGAAACAGCAGGGCACAGTAGTGAGCAACCAGCACCAAAGCCAGGGGCTCCCTCTCTACCAACGCAGCCATGAAGCGTGTAGAGACCATATTTGGCCATGCCAGGCCTCTGAACCAGTCTGGGGGAGCTGACAAGACACAGTACTCGAAGCAGAGCCAAAGCGAGTCAGCTGCGGCCCTGTATGCGTTCCTTTGCTGCCTGTCGGTTACATGAGTGTTACTAGCTGCCAGCACCCGATCAAGAGACAGACGTACTTCCACCGCTAGTGGACTAGTCAGGTCAGGCTTCCCGGTGCATAGCAGGGAACGAGCCGGTCCCTGGCTGAAAAGGGGCATACTTATGTTCCACAGTCCAACCAGACGACGCATGACGAGCATCTTCTGTACAATCTCATCTACCGGTAAAGAAGAGGAGGACGAGGAGGAGGACGAAGAAACGGAAGAAGAAGAAGCGGACGAAAAAGAGGACGAAAAAGAGGAAGAAGAGGCGGTGGAAGAAGGTGATGCGGATGCCCGCGTCGATACAAAGTACGACGGGTGCAGGATGGCGAGTTCGTAGATAAGCAGCAGGCTCGAACAAATCACAACGGCACTGCAGTTTTCCCTGTTTACCTGTTGACTTGCCACACGAGCCTGGGCGGCTTTGATCACATGTGACTGGTGTTTGGCAGCGAGGAGAGTGTATTCTTGCAGCATATGCGGCTGGACGGTAGCGAGATGCATTGCAGCGAGGGAGAGGATGTTGTGCATGACAAAGGGGTATATGCGAGCCAGCTCGGGGACCAGATGCTGCCAGATCTGGCCCTTACGGTGGTCGCCGTGGTGGAAGAGGGTATGGCATGCTGTGGTCCTGTAGTGGTGCAGTAGGAACAAGTCCTGGTCCGTGAGGTTTACGTAGGGACTTAGAGATGATGACGGTGAAGTACGAATAGGGATGTTAGTGTGGGGGGTATAATAGGGTGTTAGCTTGTCGTGGGCCTGGCCAGAAGTGCCACCAACACCACCGCCGACCAGGCGTGTCAAAGGATGAAACTCGAATATCACGCCCTTTTCATCGGAAGCCGCCTTCACCAGGGATAAGCCAGAGGGGGAAGAGGAGGAGGAGAAAAAGGAGGCAGAGGACGACGAGGAGGACGGGTTTGCCTCCTTTTTGGCAGGTACAAGCTCCTGATAGTCGCACTGCAAGCCTCTCTTCGCACAACCACCACATGTCGGAGGCTGCTCATCGCACTAAACCCACCGCCTCTATCAGCAAAAGTCGAACAAGCATCGTTTATCTGAGATAGTTAAACTAACACAAAAGGAAAAGGGAAGCCAAAAAAAATATATATATAAAGGGCATAATATAGATAAGTTATAGTTACCTTGACCCGCCTCTTCTTGCACTGACCACAGCCATGTCTCGACTTGACGTGGAACCGCCGCAAGCCACTCATCGACACCCGGCCAGAGGGTAACTATGTAAGTAGTTAGCTACTTTAAATTCGCTACTGAGTTAGTAAGTGTTAGTTAGGTAGATACGCCGGTGACCAGCCCTAAAAAGCAGACGGCGACCTCCCTTGTACTTAAGTAGGAGTACGGAACATATATCATATGCTTGAGAGAAGCACTAGCGATCCGCTTAGGCGAGGAGCGCGAGAGTGGTGCAAGCGAGCACACACCGCCGAGAGACCCTGGACGGGACGACCAAGGTTCGATATAAGTTTACTTTCGTCCACGCAAGAGCCTAGTTAACGAGCTAGCGTGGTTCGTGTGTATATTTATACTCCAACTTTTACGCTGGGAGGCCGTCGATAGCTTGGTAGGCTTTGGCGGGCTCTTGCGCAGACGGGACGAGCAGCCGTGGGGGACGGGAAGTGGGAAGTTGGAGGAGCGGCGGCTGAGGCCAAGCAGGGCCCAGTGGCTTAGGGTGCAGTCTACTTAGCATGACTTAGCTCGGGGACCATGTGTAGCTAAAACCCATAGCTTGAGCCGGCAGCCCTGCCGACCTTGGGAACTGGACGAGGCTGATACTCGGTTCGTCGGTACCTGCGTTGAGTTCCTGTTGACGTTTGACCGATTGCCAATGATGAAGATGAAGTTTGAAGACGAAAGACAAAAGACGAAGATCGTGGATAGATTAGGGGAGGGAGTTTTGGCAGCCCGGATAATGCCGAGAGAGCTTGTCTTATTGGCTGAAGACGACTAATTCTCGTTGGCCAGCGTAGCGTCAGCCGCAGCCAATGGCAGGACAGCGCAGAACACCGACAACAACACACCCAAGACGGTAAGGCATAAGGCATATGTAAGTATAAGAATACAAGTGAGTATATAGAGAGAGACGACGACGACGACGACCTCCTCCACCAACGAGACAGCGGAGACGCCGAAGCAGACAACTGGTTAGCAGTGAGCATATGCAGCCAGGGGTCAAGGTCCAGGCTAGACTGCCGGGCCAGGCTGAAGATCGAGCAGGTTCGTTTTCGCTAACAGGCCAGGACGCTCACCTTCCCCTAGGCGACCTGTCCCATCATTCCCGCTTTTAGACGCGCCACCGCCATCTGCGCTCTCCATCCACATGGTTATACTTCGCTGCAGAGGGAGCGCCAGGTCAAGATACAGATACAAGACGCCAGAGATGGCCAATAGACGGGGAGACTGACCCCCGGGCCCCAGGTGAGCGGCGCCGATAAGTTTTTTTGGCATCCCTCGCTACGGCATCTGATGGCTCACACGGGAACGCTGCTGCTGCGGTGTGTGGCCCTTCCTTGCTTTTTTGCTTGCCGTTCCCCCCCGATCTATATGGCGTATCCTTATGTGGACGGACAGCTGGCAGCGCCTTTTAAGTCGATAGATCGCCACGCTCGAGGCCCTCCCTCTTCTCCCCGGAGAATAAATAAATAATTGCTGTTATATATATATAATAACCATCTTCAAAAGGTACATATATCTTATATATGTAATATTATATATCAGAGTATATATTTATATTTATATACATATCAGTGTCACGGTCGAGCTCTCTGCAGGCTATGTGAGATATACGACAGGGTAGCATGGGAGATCAATGAGTCCAACCTTTGTACCAGAAGCAGGACTGGACACTTCGTCTGCCTATGCGCGGGACTTTCAACGAGAATCATGGGGCCTCTACGGCGCCGGCATCGCAGTCATCGTCCTCAGAAGGTAACTTCTATCCTCTCTTTTTCCGGTCAAGAAAGTGTCTAACAAGATGGATATAGCATAGCGAGAATCCGGCGTATGGGCATCCGGGGGCTGCAGCTGGACGACTACATGGTGGTGGTAGCCGCGGTCTTCTACACGCTGCTCTGCGTCGCGCTCAACGAAATCATCCTCATGGGCGGCTCGAACCTGCTGACGCCCGATGACATTAAGAAGCTCACGCCCGAGACCCGGCAGAAGCGCATCCAGGGCGCCAAATGGGTGTTTGTGGCTGAACATGCGATGATAGTGACGACGTGGACGCTGAAGGGCTGCATGATCGTGCTGTACCGGCGGATCATGGAAGGGCTGAGCCAGGAGCGCCTGGTGCTGTACCTGACCGTCTGGCTCGTCCTGGGCTTCTTCGGCACCGAGATGGCTCTCTTTCTCCTGTGCCGCCCGCTGCACCTCTACTGGGCCATCCCTCCGCCCATCGACCAGCGTACGTCTCTCTTTTTCTTCTTTTTTATATATATGTATATATATAAGTTGTTTCGTAGATGACAAAGCTAACGAGAACAGCGCAATGCTCGTCGTACCAGGCGTATGGTATTATACAGGGCATCTTCGCGATCTCGTCGGACCTGCTGATGCTGGCCATCGCGATCCCGCTGTTCATGACGCTGCGGCTGCCACGCAAGCAGAAGATGATCCTGCTGTTCGTCTTCGGCATGGGCATCTTCATCGTCATCGCGGCCATCCTGACGAAGATGTACTGCCTGGTGCCCTGGCTGATCTCGTACGTCTACATGAACTGGTACATGCGCGAGGCCACCGTCAGCATCCTGGTGACCTGCCTGCCCATGACCTGGTCGCTGCTGCGCGACCTCTTCCCCATGCTGGCGCGCTGGGTGGCCTCGACCGCGACCCCGATCTCCTCCGGCGGCACCTCCGGCGGCACCTCTGGCGGCGGGCCCCTGTCCCAGAGCGCCTCCTCCGGCCCGTCCTGGTGGTCGCCCTTCCGCCAGCAGAGCAAGGGGGACGCGCCCGACGGCGGCATCGACCTCGAGCGCTGGGAGTCCGGCCTCCCGCGTCTTCCCTCCGTCGACAAGCCGTAGCCTCACCCTCTCGATCTCTCACTCAATCTCACTCTCCATCTCCATCTCACTCTCGCTCTCGCTCCCTCTTAATCCCACTCTCTTTCTGTGTTCCTTTCTGTCCTGTCTATACCCATGTCTGTATATATAACTAGCCACGAGTAACGACCTTTTCTTCTTCGTCAACTTCTTCCACGCTTTCTTCTTCCTTTCGTCCCTTGTAGGCCGCTAACCACTAACCAACCACCGACCAGCTTCTCCTGACTAAGAGCGTCTTCCCTGTCTTGCCTCATGCAACTTCCCGTCCTTCCGTCTTCCTCGCTTCTTTTGCCTCGGCCCAACAAACGTCCCAACAAAAAAGGCCTTGGGGTGGAGAAGACGGAGAAGAAGATGAAGAAGTTGCAAGTTGCAGGTGGCAGGTAGAAAGAGAAGGAGAAGGGGAAGAAGATAAAAGGCGATGTTGAAGAAAGAAGAAGGAAGAAGGAAGAAGGAAGAAGGAGGAAGGAGAGGAAGACACAAGACCAGATACCCAAAAGGGACAGACACACATAGAAGGAAGAGACCAAAAGATACCCCAAAGACGAGACTCAACGTCTAGACTCTAGATCCTTGTCTCTTCACCTGCTTCTCTTCTGCTGCTCTCATAGTCTACCTAGTACTTCTGCTAGTCAACTTCTGCTGGCAGCTTCTCGGCTTCTTTGCGTCCCAACAAGTCGGCTTTCCTTCTTACTAAACTCGCCTTCGCCTCCTCGCCTCTTTCCTAGTCTCTTCTCTCTCTTTATCTTCTCTCTCTTCGTCCTTTATCTTAATCTGATTATTCTCTCGCCGTCCTCCTCTTCCTCTGCATCCACCAACTGCTGCTACTTTTGGCTGCACTTTGTAGTCTTCGTCGTCTTCGCGTCTACCGGCAGAATGACTGTCGACTTCCGCCTTCCGCCCTCCGCCCTCTTCGCCTTTCCGCCCGACTCCCGCCCCGCCGTCCTCCCGCCCGCCCCGGAGTCGCTCTCCTGGCACCGCCCCTTCAACGTCCCGCCGCGCCTCTACTCGGCTCTCCTGCAGCCCCTGGTGCCCCTCGCCATCGCCGCGACCTACGCAGTCACCGTCTCCTGCATCAACCGCCTCAATCGCAAGAGAGACTACCGTCCCTGGGCCATCAGCAAGACCCGCCCCTTCAAGCTCTTTGTCGTGCTGCACAATGTCTTCCTCGCCGTCTACTCCCTCTGGACCTTTCTCGGCATGATCCGCGCCTTTCGTCTCTCCTGGCCGGACGCTGCCGCCTCTGCCTCTTCCGGACGCGCTGCCGCCATCGTAGACTGTCTCTGCAAGATCAATGGGCCCCGCGGACTCGGCAATGCTGCCGTCTACGACACCGCTGCCCACCGCTGGACCATGACCAACCCGGACTCTGGATACCACCTCACTCCCGAGGGATTCCCTGATGCCACGGATGTCGGCCGTCTCTGGAACAGCGGGCTCGGCTACTTTGGTTTCCTCTTCTACCTCTCCAAGTTCTACGAAGTGCTCGACACCGCCATCATCCTGGTCAAGGGCAAGCGCTCCTCGACTCTGCAGACATACCACCACGCGGGGGCCATGATGTGCATGTGGGCTGGCATCAGATACATGGCCTCGCCCATCTGGATCTTTGCCCTCTTCAACTCTCTCATCCACGCCATGATGGTACCTCTCTCTCTCTCTCTCTCTTTTTCACTGATGCAAAATGCTAATAAGACTGTAGTATACGTATTATACATTGACGGCACTGAGGGTTAAGGTGCCCACCAGGATCAAGCGCTCTCTCACCACGATGCAGATTGCCCAGTTTGTAGTTGGCACCCTCCTCGCCGCGGCTCACCTCTTCTTCACCTACTCCGTCCCCGTCCAGGAAGCCCACCCCGTCGCCCTCCGCCCTCTCACCGAAACCATCCCGGCAGAGCACACCTCGGGCCTCTTCCCATGGCTCAAGAAGCTCGCCTTCCGGGCTGCAGGCGCAGAAGGGGTCGCCTCCAACGTCCTCTCGGCCAACCGCACCCTCTTCGGCCCCGACGGCACCCACGCCGCCCACGCACTCATCAACCACCGCGAACTCCGCCAGGAAACTCACCAGGCTTCCGTCCCTTGCATAAACACTTCGGGCCAAGCATTTGCCATCTGGCTTAACCTTGTCTATCTCTTGCCTCTTACCTTCTTGTTTGTCCGCTTCTTCATCCGCTCGTACCTTCGCCGCACCAACGAGCACCAGCACCATGCAGCCGAAAAGGCTATCAAGGATGTCACCCGCGAGATCACCAAGGCCGTCAACGAGATGCATGGAAACACCTCCGATGGGCCTTGTTCCGGAACTTCCACCCCCAGACCAGAGAAGGCTTACGAAGCTAACGCCCTCGACTTGCTCAACCGGAAGCAGCGCATCGCTGAGAGAGAAATCACCCAGCCAGCCACTGCCACTTCTACCGCCACTTCTACTGCCACTGATGTAGACACAGCTACACAGGAACAAAAGTACGAAGCGAATCTCAAGGACGTTATGAACGCCCAGGAAAGAGACATTGACAGCCATCCGGAGGACTCTACCGCGTTAAACCTCGACAAAGAAGCGGCTGCTTCTTCGCCATCTCACTCCCAGCGTAGGAAGAAGAAGATCGGCAGACGCCATTAATCCCACGTTCTCCTTTCTTTTTCACTTCTTCTTCTTCCTTCCTTTTTCCTCTTATTTTTCATGGTTGTTTCTTTTCTTTTCTTGCTTTTCCCTAATATATTCGGCGCTGCGGGTAAAAGTTGGCTCAGGATCACACTTATCATTTTATGCTTATGTTTCTACGAATGGCTACGGATGGGCGGGCGGGCTGGCATGCTCTGGTTTTAAAAGCTGTTCTCGTCATTGTATTCTTACTTCTTACCCTTAATCTACTCCTACTCCTACTACTTCTACTTCTGCTTCTTTCTATTTTTAATATTTAGTATGACGTAACGTGTCATGTGACAGCTAACGTCAGCTTGGCTTATGTAATCAGAAATAAGAAACTCGACTCCATCCGCCAACTTTCTGTCCGCCAGCAAAACGCAAACCAACAGACACCGACACGAACAAACCACCGGCAGGAGACCGACACTCTACGACGGAGATACACACACGCACACATATTCACGCCCATACACACCCCAATGAGCGGCTTCAAGGGCCTCGTCAAGGAGGGCTGGCACCCCAAGGGCAACGACGGCGGCCGCGAGAGCTGGAGAGGCGACTTCAAGGGCATCAACCAGGTCGTACGTCTGCCACCCATACATACATACACACACACCTACATACATACCATCTCATCCCATGCCACTTAACACACAGTGACAAGAGTTGTGCTAATGTCTCACGCCTAGGCGGGATGGATGGGGAAAGGTAAAAGCACTGGAGGCGGTACGGCCCCTGCCCCCCGCGCGAGTCAACCGATATCAAGCCTTAAGGACCCAGCAACATTTGGACCGCCGCCGCAAAGGGGGAAGCCTCAGCAGCAGCAACAACAACAGAGCGGTACACATAGTGTCGGTGCCGGTGCCAAACCTGCTCCGCCGCCCGTACCTAGAAGGTCAACCGAGACGTTGGGACACGGACAGGGTCAGGGACAAAGTAGGCCGTCTCTACCGCCGAGATTGCCTCCTCGTCGTTCGGAGTTGGATCACGCAGGTGCTGGTGCTGGTGCTGGTACCACGTACGACTCGCCTCCGCCTGCATACGAACTGGCTGCTACTCCTGCTGGGGCTGCTGGTATCTCTACCGCTGCATCCGCTGCAGCCAACAGACTAGGTGCCGCGGGTGTGTCCGTGCCCGCATTCGGCATCAACAAGTCTACGAACCAGTCTCAAACACAGCACCACGGCTCGTCGGTTTCTGTTCCACCCCAGGTAACCCAGGCAGCAGCCTCGGTGGCCCAGAGCGAACTCCAACAGCGATTCAGCCAGATGAACCGCTCCGTTCCACCGCCTCCGCCTGCTTCGGCTCCACCTTCCACCCAGCAACAGCAACAGCAACAAGCTCCTCCTCCTCCTCCACAACGTGCCTCAACAGAGCGGACAACATCAAACACATCCCTCAACTCCTTCCGCGAACGCCACAACGACCATATCCAAGCAGGCATGAACAAACTTAGCGGTTTCGATCAGAAATACGGCATTTCTAAAAAGATAAACAACTTCATCGAGGACCAGAAGTCTCCTGCTTACCCTCAACAACAGCCGGGGCAACAACCCCAGCAGCAAGGGCAGGGCCAATACCAGCATGCCGCGGCTACTCCTCCGCCTCCACCTCCACCTGCACATCCAAATCACCCGTACACACATACACATTCAAACACCGGTTCAGCCACCGATTTAAACAAGAGAAAGCCTCCACCTCCTCCGCCACCGATGAAGCCGGGCTCGTTGACATCGAATGCAGTCGGCCAGTCTCACTCTCATTCACCCTCCCCGCCCCCGTTGCCCCTGAATACCAAGCCGCGGTAGTCGAGATTATTCTCTTTTTCTTCATATACTTCTGCTGTTGCTGCAATATACATTTGATGGAGTAGGGAGCATGCATGCTTGTATTTTGCGTCTTTTTTTGCTTGTGGTTCTGCTTCCGTTGGGGTGTTGTTCAATTCGGTTCTGTATTTGTTTGGTATTCTTCTTGCTCTTGCGTCGTTGTTCGTATACCTACTTCACTTACTTACTTGCCTGTCACCGAGAAGAGAATCACAGTTAGAAATTAATATCTTATCACCGCTACCCTTGCTCCATGCAAGTGAAGTGGAATGATAGCCTCTTTTAAAAACTACCAGCAGCAAGACTCAATTTCACATAACATCAACATCAACATCACACCCGTACCGATATGGCCCAACCAAAGAACAAGAGCCTCTTCAAGAATGAATCAGCCATCCCCTTATCCCTCGAAACACACTGGTTCATTGGCCCAAGTCTAAGATTCCCTTACCCTGCTCTCCGACAACTCAGCACAATCCTCAACGCAGATTACGCCTGGGAATGTACTCCCAGCGCCTCACTAGACGGTAGCATGGATCACACCTTCCTTCATCGGCGCCGTGGTATGGGCCGACGAGGAATCCGATGTCCATCCCCCCGGGCCCAGCGAGGTAATAACCAAGATCCGCGTACGCTGGAACTCGGCCTCGCTCAACGAGACAATGAAAGGCGAGGTAAAGAACATATCCACCCAGCCTCGTCCTACCACCACATCCATAAGCCTAAACCAAGATGTGAAGGAGGAAGATCTCCAGCTGGCATCGGAATGGTACGCACCGCATATCCTGTCGTATTGTAGGCAGAACACCGGCCTTACTATCGGAGACGGCGAGTGCTAGACCCTAGCGTACAAGGCTCTAGAGCACGCTGGTAAAAAGGCATTACAACAAAGCAGAGAGCCAACCGTGTTAAGTACTGGACGGACTCATGGACGATTGATATTCGAATGGCATGCTTCGGCCGATTATCCCATCACGTATGAAAGTGGTATACTCCAACACGTTCCCATAACCAGTATACGACCAGGTGATATTCTGGAGCTAGCTGATGGGCGGTTTAGAACCACATGTCTTGCTCTAGCTAGTCTAGTACGGCAGGAGGAGAACGTTCGATTCAATGCCCATACGGCTGTAATAGTCGGGCTGAAGCTGGAAGAAAGCAAGCTCATTGTAATCGAGCAGAACGGTCGAGCGCGTTCCATCGTGGCTGAGAACGAGTATATTCTCTTAGACATGGTCAGTGGTACGGTCCAAATCTACCGTCCCATCGGTACCTCGCTCGCTTCATCGACTTCTACCCTCTACGACGCTGTTTCTCTCACTGGTATCTGCGAGAAATGGTAAATTCAACACCTAAGCGCTTAGATGCGATTACCTTTTTAAAGTCCATTGCCCAGAGGAATTCCAATCCTCTTTGTATTGTTCTCATCAGTAAGTATCATAGAGTCTTCATACTCAGCACACTACCATTTATTGCTTAGTTAGTAGAGGTAAAATACAATAATATACGAATAATCTCATACCAAGTGATTTCTTATTGTGAAGATCTCCTGAAGAAGCATCATTCTGATGCATCACCAACTAACGAATCTCCTCGCTTAGCGCAAGGTTTACGCGGCTAGTATAATTACACGCCCACCAATAAACACAGTTAAATACACGAGGTAACCGAGCGCGGCTCTCGCCGGCCGGTTGGAATAAGCGTAAAATTACACAAAACTCAATTAACTGGGTCGGTGCGGTTCAAGTGGGTCCGTAGTACTTATAACATCGCCTCTTATAATTGCAGGATCATAGGACAGTCGTGATGCGAACGTCAGCCTCAGCGTTACCGGTGGATGGATGAAATTAATTTAAAAAGTTTGGTCTCTCAATTAATTTTTTTTCCCTTGCGTTATTCTCCACTCTTGCTTGGTTATTGACGAACTACGGGGTACAAGGAGTATTCTTAATTTCCCGCTTATTTGTGTCTTGAGCTTTGAGCTTGGCGAGGGAGGGTACGGAATAGGTATTCGGCTGACCGATACTGGATGTCTGTATGTCTGTATGTGTGAGACTCTAGAGTTCTAAGAGAGTAATGAAGGAAAATGAAAAGGAAAGAGCCGGAGAACGAAAGAGAGGAAAGCAAGGAAAAATCGGAATCGGATGGGGAGAACATGACAATTCTCTCGCCGTCGTTATTAAACTTGAAGGAAACAGTAGAGAGACGAGGAGCTAAACTAGTCAGCTTAAGCCGGTCAGTCAAGCCAAGGCAGAAGACCGACGACCGGAGATGAAGACGACGCCACGTTCTCGTCAGGACGGAGCAGGGCAGGGGAGTAGGAAAAAGGAGAACAAGGAAAGGTGAGTTCAGCTCGGAGATGGCCAGTTTAGAGGAGAAACAAGCAAGCAAGAAGCAAGCTAGTAGGGAGTCAGTGTGTAGATTGGAATCCGTCCTTGTGCCCGTCCATCCCGTCCCTTTATTTCAGCAACAGTAACCATTTGCACTCGCACATACGCAGGCAGGCAGGAAAAATCAAGTGAAGTCAACTGAAATGAAATCGAATCAAATCAATCACATGAAAGGAAAAAGAACAAGAAAAGTAAACAGGCATACTAAATCGACGAAGACCGCAACCATTACAAGGACAGTAAGATAAGAGTTCAAGAAAAGTTCAGGTTCAAACAGGATCAAGTTCAGGTAAGATCGGAATCAGGGTGAAGAACAAAGGGACTGTTGACGGAGCTGTGGTGAGAAAGCGGAGGATCAGATTTGGCGGTAGGTAGGTAGATTGAAGGTGGGTGAGGGCGGGGAAAAAAAAAGAGCGACAGATTTGATACAGATTTGGATTTGGAAACGCCTGACCGTTGTCCTGGGGAACGGAACGCCACCAAATATGCAAAGAAAGGTTTCATTAAAAGAAGTGTGTGTAGACTTTGGAAGATTCGTGGACCTCCATCTCCTAAAGAACCGCTGGTGTTAGCACTGGGCGTCAAGAATACAAGAAAGTTACGAGAGAGATGTGGCTACATACCATTTTGAAAGTATTAAGCTCCTCCTTGATCTGCTGGGCAAGCAGAGGGGTGAGACGATTACATGTCGCCACATCTCCACGTCTATCATACTCGCCGCTGGGCCAGGTATCGTGGAACTGGATTCGAGGACTGAAAGAAATATTTCGACCGGTAGTCGATTGTGGGGTGCCAGGGGCGCTTTGGCCGGAGCCAGTGAAGCGGCCAGCGGGGAGGAAGTAGTCTTCTCCCTCGATGGTGACGGAGTCGGTGCGTCGGTGACCAGATCGTGGGGGACGGTCACCGGCAGAACTGCTTGGAGCGCTGCTAGAGCGCTGGGACTCAGGGCGTTGTAGAGTTGGGACAGGAGCAAGATCCGTTGTGGGTCGGATGACGGGGGAGGAGTTTGAGGAGTTGGTGCCTGATTCTGTGATAAAACATGTTAGAGCGGGATCAGGGGGAGAGAGAGAATTGGCGGAGTGAAAAAAAGAGAAAGAACACATGTAGATCAGTTGGGAGAGAGTATGACGTACTTTTGAGAATGCCCTTTCTAACTGCGGCCAGGACTTCGGCACGCTCCTGGTCACCGCCAAAGATGCTCTTTCTGCCACTTCGATCTGCACTGGCACTAGCATCTGACTCTGTCGACCGAGGACGCTCAATTACAATCTCTTGCTTCGCCGCACCCATGCCCGCGCCAATATCGGGGAGAACAGGTGGTCCTTTGTTGACGGCATCTCGCTGGGCCTCTACTGTTACCATAGAGACCTGCGGGACGGGTGCCGTGATTCGGGACGTGTCCGTGGGAGCATTGTAGACTGATTTGGGACGGAAAAGGCCGACGAGAGAACGAGTGGATCGTTTGACGCCGTTGCCCATTTTGCGGAGCATGATGGAGGCGGACGAGGCGGTTGAGGAGACGGAGATGTTGTCTGTCGAGCCAGTGAAGACGTTACCCTGGCCAGAGTAGATACTTTCGCCCAGTCCACCGGCTTCCTGCTTGGCTGCAATGGCAGCTTGCTCGGGTCCCAGCTCTTCGTCTAGCTGCTGTTTGCGAGGGGAGCTAACAGCTGGTTCAGGGCTAGAGATACCACGCAGCTCGGCAACGCTGCTGAAGGAGAGTGCACGCCGTAGCCGTGACTTTGCTCCCTTTCCTTGGCCTTTCTTTGAGATCTCGATGAGCCGTTTTGCGGCCGGGCTGGGGGTCTCTGCCACCTTTGGCGGCTGGTTTTTCGTGTCAGGGGTAGATTTTGAAGTCGTGGTGGGCGTTACAGTCTCATCAGCATCAAGGTTAACTGGTTTCGACAAAGGAGAAGGAGTGCTCGATCGCTTTGATGTCTCTGTAGGACGAGTCACCGCAGCTTTTTTATTGTTGGTGTTGTTGTTAGTATTATTTGAGGTGGTAGGTTGAGATGTTGTGGATGTTTCTGCTCCTTTATCAGACTTAACCTGTCGAGAACGGTGAGTAAAGTTACTGGCAGAAAAGTAAAATAAGATAATAAAATTGAGCATGAGCTAGTACTTACTGAGCCAGAAGAGGAGTTGACAGAAGCCGTGTCAGCATTCTTTGACATGGAGTTTGGAGGAGGCGGAGTACCGCTCAGGGGGAACTCGGAGAGAGCCATCTCATTTGCGTGAGGAGACGGGTGGGAGTCAGGAAAGGTGAGAAATCCAGCAGTATCGATGCTGCCCATGCTTCTGCGGCGGTAACGTTTTGCCAGCTCGGTGCTGGAAGGACTGGAACCATCCGTCACTGCAGCATCAACACTGGATCCACGGGCATGATGCGGTCTACTGGGGATATCAACGATAGAGGGAGTGAGAGATTTGGCAGTCTGAGCGGTTGCCATGCCAAGAGAGCTAGGCTCTATGGTAGAGATGGCTGCAGCGGGGGAGGCAGGCTGGTCTCCACGACGCTGGCCGCGGCGATATCTGTCCGGAGAAGGCTTGTTTGCGGTAGTGGGTGAAGCTGAGGCTGAAGGAGGAGGGAGAGCAGGAGGAGAGAGATCGATCGCGGGAACAGGACGCAGAGTCAGTTCTGAAGGGTTCTGGCGCTTGGAGAGGAGGGAAGAGTCATCCTTGGAAGGGTGTGAATAAACGGAAGAATTAGAGGAAGTAGAATTGGATACCGAGCCAGCAGTAGTGGAAGTAGTGGTGGTGGTGGAGGAGTAGTGAGTGCGTGGAGGGATGGTTCCAGGGTAGCTGGTGTTGTTGTTGTTGTTGTTGCTGTTGTTGTTTGTGGTGGTTATTGTGTTTTGTGTCTGCTGCAGCTGCGCCTGACTTTGAGTTTGGGTGTGTCGCTGTGAGTTTGCAGGCAGTCCGGGAGTGGCCGTGAAGGCATAAGGGGCGACTGGTTGGACGAGCCGGTAACCGGTAGAGCCAGAGCCGGAGCCAGGGCCAGAGCCCCCGTTAGACGAGCGGGCGTGATTCTGGTTCCGGGCCATCGGAGACTGGTTGTGGAGCTGTGCAGAGGTGGTGAAGGTAGCAGAGGAAGAGGAGGAAGCAGGGCGAGACTGCAGCAAGGTGATCGTGCCGGCTTGCTGTGGGACGGTTTGGACCAGAGCGGCCATGATGATACACGCCGGTATCGAGATAGGAGGTGTTGTGCCTGGGGGGGAGGGGAGAGACGGCAGGTAAACTCAGGTAGATTTACCCATGAAGCCTGGAGACTGAGAACGCTGGAAGATGGAAGATGGAAGCAGAAGACGCTGAGACGCTGGCTGGCTGGCGAGTCCGAGGAGGCGAGTTTTCGCAGAAGCCTGTAGTGACCAAAAGGGAAAGTCGTTAGTATTTTTATTTTTTTTTTATTTGAGGCTGCTTATGACGCGGGAGAGAAGGACACGTCTTGGCCGGTCACGACAACGTTGGTGAAAAAAAAAGGGAGCAGAGAGAAAAGAAGAAGACGTAGACTGACCTGGGGAGGAGAAGAAGGTAGTAATAAAAAAGTAGAAGAAAAAAAGACCTTGGTAGACGCTGGACAAAAAAGAAGAGCCGGAGTACTGAAACAAGACAACAGACCCAACGGCGACAGCAGCAACAACAAAAAAAAAAAGGGAGGACGGAGGAAGCCGATCAAGAGGAGGTTCAACGTCAAGGGCCACGCGGTATTCCAGAGGACAATTCGAGTTCAAAGCCGACCCAAAGCAAGCGTGTTATGCGTGTGAATGTACTGGAGGTTTGAAGTCGAGGTCGTCGGGAGAGCAGAGAGAGAGAGAGAGGCCAGGGGGGAGTA